CTTTTCGCATGCCCAGAAGAGAATTGAGACGAGTTGAAGAGAATATCTCGATAGCGCTTATGCGGCGAAGGTTGCGCCAATGATCACCATAGTCGGCTGTTCCCATGGTGGTGTCGTTGTAATTTAAGTATCTTCCAGTCAAAACGTGAGGACGGTTGGCGAAAACAATGTCGTTCTTGATTAAACATTCTTCTACACCTGAAGGGGATGACACGATGATGGCAAGGCGGGAACCGAACTTTAGAGAGAAGATGGGACCGTATTTTTGTGAAAGATTTTGTAGTGATCGATGGATGGGTTGCTTAAGGAGATGGAAATGGCCAATAATTGGCAGAGCAAGGGGGCTTGGTGGGAGATTCTTGTGTTGCCTTCTGGTTCGTAGCAACAACTTGATGGGAAGTACAAGGAAGAAAATGGATAGGAGGGAGTATAGTAGGATGGCTTCCATCTTTGGACTGCTTGAGAACGACTATGAGGCTGCTGGTAAATTTATTTGGTATTATTAGAAACAAATGTTTGAAATTTGCTATGCTTGATGACTCTTTTAAGGAAGACAAAAAATGGGATTTTTTTTTTGCCATGGATAGGGACCATCCACTCATCCAGCAGGCTTAGTAGTAAGACATTACAAGATTGACGTTAGTGGGGGAGTAGTCAGCACTTAGCAGGGCAGGTCGTACTATCATGATGAATTAAATTGACTATTTCTATATAAATAAGAGAGCTAATCTTATCATTTTTTTATAATAAGAAAATATTTGAATCTGTAAATTTTTGCAATTGCAAAATAGCTCACTATCGCTATACAAGATTATTCGAATTATTTATCGAAATCCTCTATTTTTGTTATTTGATTGAAATTTTTTTATTTTTTTGAGATTTCTTACTTTACAATATCACATATCGATTAATGATTTGTGATATTATAGCATAAAGCCTGAAAGAAAAAATTTAGAAAGATAAAGAGTCTAAATATTTTTTTTAAAAGAATAAAATATTCGAATTAATATAGAAAAAACCTTCTAAAACAATACAATGAATGATTATAATAATACTAATGGGTTTAACTTCTTGCAATTGCAAAAAGCTCACTGCTACTATGCAAGATTCTTTGAATTATTTTGATCAAAAACCTCTGTTTTTATTGTTTGATTGAAATGTTTTATTTTTTGAGATTTTTTATTTTACAATATCACGTATCGATTAGTAATTTGTGATGTTATAACATAAAGTTTGCAACAAAAAAATTCGAAAGATAGAGGGTCTAAATATTTTTTTTTAAAGAATACAATATTCAAATTAATATAAAAAAACGTTCTAAAACAATATAGTGGGTGATTATAATAATACTAATGGGCTTAATGTTAGGAATATGCTATTTGTGAATTACTACTCTACGTTGATGATGCTTTAGCAAATAGCATTAAATATTGTCATTTACGTTATACTATTGCATTAAAATACTAAAAATTAAGTTTTTTTAGAAGAGAGATAATAACTAAAAATCATTGGATGTATCAGATTTAAAAAACTCAAAAATTCTAAAAGTCAACTTTGAAGTTCAAAAATTCAATTTCAAAAATAAGCTAAAATTCAATGAAAGTTTGACTGATTTAGCTAGAAAATATTAGTGGAGTAGAATATATATATATATATATTCGGATTCTCTTTTCAAAGTGATTTTATAAAATAAATATTATTAATTAATTTTTTAAGCATTTTAAAATCTATTAGCCAGTCCAGTTCAAAACTATCTTTTGTAATTGAAAAAAAAAAAAATGGGTATGGCATGTTTGATGGCAATTCAAAAAAATTAAAACAAGAAAGGATAGATGGATCGGGTGTTTAAGGAAATGGAGAAATGGGAGGGCTCGGTGGAAGATTTTTTGTGTCGCTTTCTTGTTCGTAGCAACGGCTTGATAGAAAAAACAAGGGTTTGAGAGGAGTAGCTGTCTTTGGTGGTAAGCGGGCATCTTGCTTGTGGTTCACCTCTTCTTGTCCTTGGTGACCTAGAAATTTTCTGATATGGGTCATGGATAAAAGCTATTAATCATCTTTGGTGATTTAATGTAGGTCATCGTACTTATTTAATATTATCTCGAATAATATTTTTTAACGATCCAATTTACTTATTTACTAAAAAAACTAAAGTAAAAAGATTATTTATTATTCAATAATACTATTTAAAACATTATTTATGCAGATTCATTTATGTTATTTATCAAGATATATATTGTTTTTTTATTATGCAATGATATTTTTATAGTTTTTACATTTTTTAAAGGTATTTGTTATGAAATTTTCCTGACATTATGTTTTGATCTTTTTTTTAAAAAAAATTTTTGTCCATAATTTTTTTATTTCGTTTTGATCCGTTTTTGTTTTGTTTTGGTCTCTTTTTTTTTTTTTTCATTTTGGTCACTTTGTTCCTTTTTTTTCTTTGATTTTTTTAATTAAATATCTTAAGAACAAAAAATATTTAGAAAAAAAACACTTTACAAAATAAGTTTTAGTTAAAAATCTATTGATTTTGATATTTCTTTTCTTATATTATTATAAATTTTTTTTATTTAAAAATGTAGATGAAGATAAATAAATAATATTTTTTAATCAAAAATTTATGAAAAATATAAAGAATAATCATTTAAATATAAAATTTTGATTAAAAATTATAAAATTACATAAATTTTTATTAAGTTTTGATTTGATATAATTTGATAAATATAAAATATAACACAAGATATTAAAATAAAATAAAATTTTAAAAATAATTTTATATGTCCTATTCGATTAGTATAATAGGATGGATAAAAAACTTAATAATAATACTAAGATGGGTCCACAAATCCATGGAGGAGGGGACGGTGTTATCAAGGCATCTGAAAAGCCTAAACGACTCCGTGGCCACTTCTAACCTTTCCTAAATGTCAAGACAATGTTTAAGACAAACATTTTCCGGCGAGTCAACATAATGAATTGATGTGTTGTTGGAAAAGTATATACATGTCACATCGGCCTTTTTTTAAAAAAAATGGGAAGATACGTAGTTTTTTCAACATTTTCCAAAGAAAAATATTGTGTCAACATTACATCATTTTTTTAATATTTAAAATAACCTCTTTTCTTCCATTACGGAGAAGAGAAAGATACACTTCCTTCCGTCTACCATACCGCAAAATAATAATAATAATAATAATAAGTAACAATAAATAGAAAAATAAAAAGAGAAGAATAGAAAAGCAAAAAAATATAGGCTGATGGAATTTTTTATATTTAATATTTATAAAACATGTTTATTATCTACAATGATTATAACATGGGATGTTAAAATCCGAACTAGAGAGAAAATATGAAAAATAAAGTCCCTACCTAGTCCTAAAACAGTTAGAAAATCTAAGGTTAGTCAATAAAAAGATCATGGATAAAAGATTGGTTACAAAAAAAAAAAAAAAAAAAAACAATATTCTTTGGGTGTATGATCTAAGATAACCTATATTAACAAAAAAACTAAAATAAAATAATTGGTTATTATTTATTGTATTATTTCAAATACTGTTCACTTAGACTCGTTTGCACTATTTACTAAGACTTTGATGCGCTATTCCTTTCACTATGCAGTGATATTTTTATAGTTTTTAAATATTTTAAAGACATTTATTATGAAAAGTTTTTATAATATTATATTTTAGTCTTTCTTTTTTAAGCATTTTTTTTAAATATGCAAATATTCTTTTTTATTTTATTTTGATCACTTTGGTTCTTCTATTTTTTTTTCTATTTTTTAAATTAAAAATTTTAAATAAAAAAATGTTTTAAAAAATAATTTACAAAATAAGTTTTTAACTAAAAATCCATTGATTCTAATATTTTTTTTATACCATCATAAATTTTTTATCTTATAGATAGAGATAAATAAATAATTTTTCATAAATTTATAAAAAATATAAACAACAATATCGATTCTGATATTTTTTTATATTATCATAAATTTTTTATCTTGTAGACAAAGATAAATAAATAATTTTTCAGAAATTTATAAAAAATATAAACAACAATCAATCAAATATAAAATTTTGATTAAAAAAATTAAAAAATTAAATAAATTTTTATTCAATTTTGATTTGATATATTTTGATAGATGCACAATATAATATAACATATCAAATTAAAATAATTTTTAAAAAATAATTTTATATGTTTTATTCGATCTGTAGTATAAGACGGGTAAAAAAACTAGTCGCATGCTATTCTAAAACATATATATTTTTTTCTTTATTACGTGGAATTGTCTAAACCCATTGATTGCGCATATTATTAAGCTTTGATCTAACAAATCCTAAAGTCAAGCGTTTTAGGAATAGTGAAAGGCTCTATTCTTTACTTTTGAGCAAACAGCCATTGGATCCGAAATGGAGATGAAGAGATGGGCTAAACCTGGTTGATTGATAAAATAGGTCTAAAGGCCCACTAACACCCAATGGGATTACACGAGGCCGCAAGGATCCAGCTCGAATCTATCATCCGTATGGAACAAAGGAAAGAAAAGGAGAGGGGTAGAACTGTAGAAGGACGAGGATGAAAAAAAAAAAAAAAAAAAAATATATATATATATATATATATATATATATATATATATATAGAGTACACACAGTTTAAGAAATGACAAATAGATATATCATATAAGAGAATTAGAATAAAATAATAATATTTATAAATATTCAAATTGTTTTTCAAATCGAAACTAAAAATAAACAATTTTTTTTTTTGGCAGCGATTAACACTGCGGACCAGGAAAGTAGCAAAATGCAACTAAAAATCATGAAAAAACTCATAAAATGACAAAAATTAGTAAAATGAAGATATATATATATTAAGAAAAAAGTAATTTGTGGTCTTCTTATGGTATGTCTTCCTAGGAAAAAGGGATAAAAAATTATGACAATTAGTATTGTATTGTAGCCATAAATATATCGTTGCTTAATTTCATACCCACAAAGAAATTAAATCCAAACTTCCTCATTTTTCCTCCTTATTTCATTGGCTTTCTCCATAATGTAATCAAGATAAGAATCAAGAATCAAAGACTCGTCCTTTTTCTTGATACGTAGAGTGAAACCCCTCTTCTCGTCAGGCAATGGACGCCAAGAAGATGTCAATGCTTGTCTTTCAGTCACAATATGTTCCCAAAGGACAGCAACACCATTGAAGGTGTCGAAGAGAGTGTCATTGTTTGTTAGGCCAAAAGTTATGGCACTTGAATTCAGAGCACGAGTGAGGCTCAAACGGCTACCAGAGATGGAGACAGAGGAGCTTAGATAGAGCTGGACTGCGTTGTAGAGCTCGTTGGTGTTAACTCCATCAATTTCTGTGATATCAAAGTAGCAATAAGAAGTGAACATGTTAAAGATCCGGTGGAAGAGTTTCAGAGTTGCAAACCGGCGTTCTGGTGGACATAATACTTGAAGAAGACTTTGACAAAAAGCCAACATACCAAGTATTGAGGCCAAAGAGCCGCAATATTCCTTCATTCTTCTGTTCTTTTTCGTAAGGGATGGATAAAGGTGGTGTTTAGCTTCTTGAGAGGGGAGAGGGAAAGAGGTGTTTGTTTTTCTCTTAGTTTTCTTTTCAGATGGTTTTGTAAAAGGGTCTTTTTTGCTTTAATTTATAGGAGGACTGATGGGCCTTGGTATTTTGAGAGATTACTGTAGAAATTGGGAAATTTGTGGAGAGAGAGAGGGAGAGGGGAATGATTCTGAAGGAATAGTAAAAGCACAAAAAGGGTAAGGGCAAAGAATGGTTTTGACATGTGTAGGGGTTTTAAGTCTTTGATTCTTGATTCTTATATGTGATAGGACTTCAGATTTAAGTAGGTTTTTTTTTTGAATAAATTAAAATTGTTATTGATAAAAAAAGCAACAAGTAAGAGCTCATCCTACTGCAAAACATACAAGTATGTACTAAATTATCACTTTGAGAACATATAGATAAACATTTATATTTTCCTTTCATATTACAAACTAAGTTAAATTTGAGATCATAATTTTAAATTATGGACATAGTTGAAAAAATAATCATGAACATAGATCCTAACTTATCGTGAGAGTAAAATAACAATCGTAATAACTCGATGTCATAAAAAATTACCAAAAGCAAGAATCTAGCTAGTTCTTCACAAGTTACGTGCATCTTCAATGACACAAAATCTGACATAGAACTGCTGCCTTGTTTGGAATGTGATTAACAAGTGCGAGCTTTGAAGAAAGATATAGCATAGGAATCGGAATCGATACATCATATGTGATTGGAATTCAGATTTAAGAAAATAGCAGGTTTTTTTTTTTTTTTGATAAATGAAAATTGTTATTGATAAACAAAAGCAGCAAGTACAAGTATATTCTAAATTATCACTTTGAGAACATATTAGATAAGCATCTATATATTCCTCACATATTATAAATTAAGTTAGATTTGAGATCTTAGTTTTAAATTGTGGACATGGTTGAAAAAAATAGCCATAATCGCAACTTATCGCAAAAGTAAAATAACAATTACAATGAATCGAAGTCATAAATGCATTAGAAAAAAATGTTTTTAATTTTCTTTTCAACCAAATTCAAGCATGTAAAGACTAAATAATAGATACAAAAACAAAACTAAAAAATAAGGACAAAATCACATGAGTAGGCTGCAAAGCACAAGGTTGATATATATATATATATATATATCTTGTCATTATTTATGTAAAACGTAAACATGATACCTATAATATCGAATAACGACAATAGAATGCTCCAATAATGTTATAACGATATGGTTAGAAAGCCATGGTGAGACAAAAAAAAAAAAAAGCAAGACACTATGTAAAAGCTTAGGGAATTTGGCAATGAATTTAGATGCTCATGTCAAATCTAAATTCTATAAAATTGCTCACTAAACTCGGGAGATCGGAGATCCATTTGAATGGTATGTCTTCTTATGTTTATGTGTTTTTAACTTGAACGATTTATTTAAGACAAAAATTTTGATTCAGTTGCTCTCGGGTTTAACGGAGGTAGTTTGGATTTTTGTATTTTAAATTTACAAATAAATTAAAATTGGTATCTATGATTTTATTATATAATTTATTGGTTAAAAATTGTGTAAAATTTTGCTATTTGGAGGTTAGAGGTATTTGAGAGGAGGGGTTTTCAATTGTTGCCACCAATAGCCTTTTTGTTTGTTTTTTGAACTTCTTTTCACTCTTAGTGATTTCATAAACTTTTTACTCAAAATTATTTAAAATGAAAAATATAAAATTTTCATTCGCATGCACTATGATTCCGCTACTATATTAACTTAAAAACTAATGTTTTTATTGATAAAGAATTTCCACTCACCCATAAAATATATAGAAAATATGGACCTTAAAAAAATATTTATCATATTCAAGTGACTCAAGGGTAAAAATAAAATATTTTGGACTTTGGAAGGCTAATATATATTAACTAATAAAACGTGCTATATCCTAAAAAAAGAAAAAGGATATAAACATAAAACCGGGCATATTAATTAAAAAAAAAAAGACTCGCATGAAGCGCAGGCAAACACCAGTTTTTTTTTTTAATTAGTTTTTTCATAAATAAAACCATATAACTCATAATTAGTGGTTAGACAAGTTAAAATTAGTGTTAATAATTAGTAGTTAGTAGTTAGTGAGTTAAGAGAAAACAATCGTATTATTACAAATATATTCGTTACAAATTATTTTTTAAAATGCTTTGCAATTTATGTTGCACAATTTGACCCACTAAATATAATCATAATGTATAAAAAATTGAGATCATTGGTTTTATTGAAAGTTATTTGTGCATCTACACACATAGCATCGATAATTTACGTTTAATTTTTTTCAAATATTCTAAAATTAATTTCTTTAAAATAAATTTATTAAAGTAATATATTAGAAGAATCATCTAATAATTCAGATGCATCTTTTTTATACTAATATTATTTATTATTTTATAAATAAATATATATAAATCAAATGTATATATTTTTAAAATTATATAAAAAATTCATTTATTAATTTTTATACAAGTTTTTATATTGATTGTTGTTTTTTTATTCGATGCAGATCATTTATATGACAACATACATTAAGATTTTTTTTTTAATTTTCAATTGACATTATTATAGATTTTTATTTAAGAATTAATTAATAACGAAGAATAAATTATGTTTTTTAACAATAAAAATATGAAAGAAAATAATAAGAATAAATAAAATACAAAAAGTTTATTAGAAAGATATAAAATTAGATAATTTTGTTTCTTTCGATTCAATATATTTTATTACATTCACGACGTATACATGCTATCAAACTCCAATAATTTTTAAAATTAATTTTATTAGTTTTATCCGACCCGTAGCGTATCGTAGATAAACATATAGTAATTCACTACATTTCATATGATAATTGTACAATTTACTAAGCATATAGAAGGTGGCTCGAAAAAATAATTGCAAAGAAAAAGAAGAAAAGTTTGGCTTCGAGTGATGAATTAGTGTATTCTGAACAATTTCTTATTTAGGCCCAACACTTAGAGCTTCCATGAATAATGACTCTAATAATCTTGAAAGGGTATCCAATTTGATGCTTCTTTCAATTTAAAGGCATTAAAAAAAAACATTTGCACCGTGTTGCTAAACACACATTAAATATTACTATTTAGTTTTGTTTGAACAAATTAAACATTTCACACGATAATTTTGGAAAATAAAAAGGCAAAAAAGTAGAGAAAGTGTAAGGTGTGACTTTTAGCTCTCACAAAAAATCACATATTATGTGATTGATCCCATAGTTTTAAATAACAATCGTTACATTATATAATTATATTTATATAACGATTTTAAAATATATCTTAATATATCGTGATTTGTGATAGCAACTACAATGGTTTTTTTTAACCATCAGTCCAGTGGATTAAAACTATTTTGGACCCATATGGAGTTGGGTTTTTCGACTCGGTATTGAGTGGCAGGGTACAGTCTGTCTCCTGAAATTAACAAATGATAGGATATGTGACACTAGCATACTGCACCCATGTCATTAATTTAAGTTTGTTCGGTAAAGCTATTAGAGATTACATAAAAGATCACCGCTTTCTATCAAAGTCTTCTTATTTTACTGGAATTTCAGTTTAAAAAAGTGGAGGTAAAGGCATTACCACCTCATCCTGACGCTTCGATCAGGTTGGAAAAATGGAGTATTCCTTTACAAGTCATTTTGTCATTACCTATAATAGGTTAAATATCCCAGCACTTACCAGACCTTAAGTCACTCTTCAATAGGAGAATTTAGCTTAATAGCAGGAGAAGGAAGAATTTGAAGAACATGGCAAATGAGCATGCAAGTAGTAGTGATGTCACAAGAGAGAGGTGAATATATACCAGCATATATCTTGCTTAAAAATCTGTCTATGAAATGATGGAGTACTATAAATTAATTAATGCTAACAATCTTTGTTTTGTTCATAATCTAAAGTAATCCCATATATGTTTATGTTTTGGTTATATATGCAAGGGAACAAGTGCGGCTGATGAAGAGTTTCATCACTGCGATGCATGCTGCCATGTGCTTTCTAATTTTCGTGTTGCTAGCTCTCCTCCAACTGAAATATCAAAACAAAGGAACGTCTCCTTTTCAGGCACACGGTACTATTATATTGCTTTTCATTGTGACCTCCTTTCTCTACTCGATGGCTTTGCTTGCTTTGATAGCTCTACTACTACGAGCCCACCAGCAGTTGGAAACCCTTTGCTTCGTCACAGTCCTTAAGCACATTTCTCTCGTTTCTGGAGCTCTTACTTGCGATTTACTCCTCTCGATACTTTCCCCTCCCTTTGGATACTTTGTGTTGATCTTTTGTGGAGTTGGCATACTTGTGAGGGCACTCCTTGGATCCTACCAACAAATTCTTGGTCGGTTGCTAGATGTTGCAGCCATCGCAGCAATAGCACGAGACCTGCAGATCCTGCATGTTTTCCATGGATCGAGTCCTCAGGAGGCTCATAATCAGGCATACAGCATGGTATGTGTTTGCTTCTCACTAATTTTTTTTCCTACTTCCACAAATTATATAGTATTAAGAGGCTACAAATCATTTCGTAAACTAATCTTTATCATGTTCTAAACGTACTTTTTCGAACAATGTTTAATTAAGCTGATTAACAAGCTTTTTATATATACTTTGCTTTTTTCCAATAATATTTCAGGTTTCTCAATCAATGAAAATTGTTTCTACAAATCATAACTCGACTGATCAAGGAGGTAGGGATCACGCTACAACTGAAATTGTTAGTGTATAAATTGATTTCATAATTTGCATAAGTAATATCAATTAGATTTGGTCTGCGCTGAAAACAGCTTACTTTGATTTAAAATAAGTTGACGTTTTGTATATAGTTTTTTAATTGTAACTAATTAGTGTGGTTATTTATGAGAGATACATGTTTATTATTTCATCATATGTTTGCAAGAATGTTATTAAATATGATATCATATTAGAATGACTTGATAAAATTTTGTATCAAAATCTATTTAAAGATCAATTTCTAAATTTTTAATTTCGAATCTAATCTTTATGAATTTTATATTTTATTTTTTTAGATTTAGCCTTCTCTTTATTTTTCTATAAAAAATAAAGTCATCCACGATGAAAATCATTAAATAAATTTTTATTGGAGTTTTCTTAAAAATTTAGTATCATTTCGAGTTTTTTTTGCTTTGGTTTTATAGTATTAATCTGAAAAGGCATGAACAGTTTGGCGATGAAAAGGTCCACGCATTGAATTGAAGCGTTTCTGAGACTATACTGGTCTTGTTAATACTGGACAAAATAATGGTGGTCACATAGATATCGAAAGGCAGCAAATCATAGCAGTGCAATGACAAGGCAAGTCATTTTATGCTAAAACCCGAAGAAGCAAAGCAGAAAATGACGACAGTAAAGTAGACCCATCATGATCGGCAATAATTTAGCCTTCAATGGACAAAGTTGCTGCATTATTAAAAGACCTGGTATAGATTGCAATTGATAGGAAATAATGGGCATTAATACCATTGAAAAGAAGAAATTCATAAAAACTCATCATCTAAAAACAGTAACTGGCTCGGATTATTTAGTTAAAAACTAGTCCATCCAATGCTATAGGCCGAGAAGAATCAAATCATTTTACTTTGATGATCCATCTTATATTGCGTATCTACAAAAATATATCAAATAAAAAATAATATTTTAAAAAATAATAACTTTTTAATCAAAATCTTGTATTTAATTGATTATTCCTTATATATATATATATATTTTTATAAATTTTCAACTGAAAAAAATATGATTTGTTATTTTATACGATTGACTCTTAAAAAAGAATCCCTAACAATCTAAATAGAAAATTAAATCAAGAATTTTTTTTTTCGGAAAAACTTTAATATTTTTTCTTTAAGGTTGTATAAAAAAAAATAAAGCTACAAATAATAAGAAAACTTGTTTAAAAATTAGCCAATAAAAAATAATTTTTTATTCTTATTCAATGCTAATAAGAAGATTTATTTTTTAAAAACATATATAATCAATAATATAGCATTAAAAATTGTATTTGAATTATTAGATAGTTCTTTAAAATATTATTTTAATTATTTATTGGAAAGAATCTAATTTTAAAATATCTAAAAGAAAAAAATAATAGTAAATAGTTGATGTTATGTGTTTATATGGATAGTTATTTTTTAATAAAATTGATGATCTATTTTTTTTTTTACACATCATTACTATACTCAATAAGTTTAGAGTGTGGAGTGCGTGTGTATAGGAATATATTAAATAAATTTAAAGTTAATAGACTAAAATAAAAACTACGATAAAATTGATTTCATAAATTTTGATTATATAAAAAGAAAATAAAACGTGTAAAATATATTTTTAATTGATTATTTTAAAATTTTATTTTTCTTTTTAATTTAAGACAAAGTATATTAAATATATTTCTAAACTTTAAATTATATATGCATGTGTGCATTGCTCTCATTTAAAAATTATAAAAATTCATCATATAAATTATATTAATATATTTTTAAAAAGTGAAAAAATAATCACATTCTAAAATTTTATTCAAAAATCCATATATAGAGAAAAAAAATCATATTTTCTTAAAAAATAAAGTTATATAAAAAAATAAATTGTGAAATTATTTGAATGTTTCCATTTAAAAAATGACAAATCGAAGAAATCATATTTCTTCATCCCCAAGTTGCATGAAATTTTTTTAAAAATAAGGATTGGTTTTTCATAAATTTAGCACAAAATCAATTAAAAAAAAAACAATTAAAAAATTTGCTAAAAAAAAAACCAAGCCACGCCTACATTTTGGGCCTGTAGAAACAGGTCCAATTGGCCTAGCCTGACCACATGTAAAAGGGCAAAAGAGAGAGAAATCCAATGGACAATGCATCCACCACTACAATTTCCGACCAACTTGAATTCGTCAAAAAGTTTGCTAGAAAAACAGTTTTTAAATTTTTAAACTCCAAAACCCAATCCAACTGTTTTTACTCTAGAACACTGAAACAAGGTTAAAAAATATATATGTTTAAAATCTTAAAACTCATTTTAAGACAAAAATAAATAAATAAATTCAAAATTCATAATGTTTTAAGATCTGAGTATTCCTCCTCCAATCATTTTATATTTTCAAACCATAATAAAACAATTTTATTTTCTAAAAAAACAAATTTAATGAAACATTGCCGGTCAAAGTGGCTAAAAATTTGCCTAACGGACGGCTTTTTCTATCCTTTCTTACCTCTCTTTGTTTCTCTCTTTTTTAAGGACTAAAGTGTGTCGTAAATAAAGTTGTGTACCAAAATAAAAGATTTGAAAACACTGTTAAAAATACAGGATTGAGATAGATATTTGGTGATGTGTAACCAGCAGGGCATGCTTGGATTCCACTATCCAACAGTGCTAAAATAAAGAATTGAGATAGGCTTTCCCTTTCCCGACCAGTGCATGATTTTAAATTAATCTACAGAACAGAAAACATTGTTTCAAAAATGTAGCAAAAAAGAAAAACACAAGTTACCTCAATAGCCATCCCTTACCTCCAAGATCAATTACATTCATGGACCATTTTAGGGATTCTTCCTGTTTGATTGTATTTCAAACAACCCGCCTTCCTCTTTCATCAACTATCTAGGAATTCTATAGAATACCATATTTGTGTTCTCAAATTGGCTATTCATTTTGTTGACGTCAGTTTATTTTTTGGAGCCACTTGTTTCTGGGGAAGCGCTCTCCACCCAATATCTCGCCGGTAGAACCCTCCTGGCCAGTTGACTTCCTCAACTGCTTGATAAGCTCGGTCCCGTGCCTCTTCAAGATCTCTTCCGGTGGCAGTGGCCCCAAGAACTCGTCCCCCGGTAGCAATCAAGTTGCCATCCGAGTCCAAAGCTGTTCCAGCATGGAATATCTTAACTGTTGGAGCAACATTCTCGGCCTCCTCTAGGTTTCGAATCACAGTCCCCTTTTCATATGACCCAGGGTACCCCTTGCTTGCCATAACGACCACCATGGCAGACCATGGAGACCATTTCAGGGATACTCCACTTAGCTCTCCTCTACTAGCTGCAAGTAGAACTTGTGCTAGATCTGATTCCAACCGGACCATCAACACCTGCATATTCACGCAAAAGAATCTCCCATTAATTTTATGTCACAACTATCGATATACCGACTTCCTGTAACTTTTGAGGAATAATCATGACAACCAAAATCTGATGGTCAATTTATAGTGTGTTTTCATGCACATAAAAGATAATCAGCGCAACCTCCCCACTCATCATAGCCGATAGATAAACCAACTGGATATTGTTTTAGTTCATCCAAACAGTCATAATTTGAAGTCTAGTGAATAGATACTGTAAACTACCAAAACAATGATAACCCAATATATACAGAGGTCTAGTGAAATCATGCAGCCAACTCATCCAACAAACAGAAATCAGCATTGCTAAATATTTTTGAATGCTTATTAGGGTCAGTATCTGACCTGACACTCAGGATCGCCAAAGCGTACATTGTACTCAATTAACTTAGGTAAGCCAGAGTTCTTCTCAATCATCAACACAGCATACAAAACTCCTACAAACTTGCAACCCTCTGCTGCCATTCCCTTCACCGTTGGGAGAATTATAGTTTCCATGACTACTGACTGAAGTTCTTCTGTCAATACCGGTGCTGGAGAGTATGCTCCCATCCCACCAGTATTGGGGCCTGTATCTCCATCACCAACTCTCTTATGGTCCTGAGCAGATTCTAGAGGAATAGCATTCTCTCCATCCACCAGGGCAAAGAAAGATGCTTCTTCTCCTTCCAGCAATTCTTCAACAATGACACGACAACCTGCAGAACCAAAAACACTCCTCACAAGCATTGAATCAACAGCTTCGTATGCCTCCTCCAGTGTCATGGCAACAATAACTCCCTTTCCAGCAGCCAAGCCATCTGCTTTTATGACAATAGGTGCTCCCTGGTCCTGAATGTATTGCTTTGCAGCAGATGGATCTGTGAATGTTCGGTACTGCAACAATAAACAAAGGTTTAATAACAGGGTTTACAGCAACAAAGAACTGGGAAAGCAAAGACAGTAACTTGAAAATTTTAGTTAGGCAAAAATGAGAGGATGCCGGGCACACTATCTTGTTTCATTTTTTTTCTTTGCATTTTCCAAGAAAAGAAATACCGATGAACTAAGACTAGAAGAAAAGAAATGGCAATTGGAAAAGTTTAACACAAGCAAGAAGGTATTTTGTCTGCCTGGTAACTAAAACGAAAAAGGGTAAAAAGAATAAACATTAGCAGTAGGAATTTCATATTTGTCACACAAATTTTTCATGAAGTTCTTTGAACCTTCTAAAGCAGCAGCTTCTGCCGATGGCCCAAAAGTAGGTATTCCAGCTTTTACTAAATCACTTGCAAGGCCAGAAACCAAAGGTGCCTCTGGTCCCACCACAACCAGTCCCACACCCCATTTGCGGCAAAAGGAGATCACAGCCGAGCTATCAGAGATGTCAAGCTCTGGAATACAAGTGGCATTTCCAGAGTTAGAAATCCCTGCATTGCCAGGAGCACAAAAGACTGCATCACAGGAGGGAGATCGCTGCAAGGCATAGCAGAGTGCATGTTCTCTTCCCCTCCACCAATAACCAACACAACCACCCTCTCATCTGCAAAATTAGTAGGTGAGGGAGGATCAATGAATAAGAAAAAAGTAACTAATTTAACCCAATTCTTTGCGTCTCCAATCTCAATAAAAAAAAATTGTCACAAAATATCCTATGGAGCGGTCTCCTTGAGAAAATAACAAGGCAGAGTATAAAAAAAGTCAATAAAATTTAAATGAATCCATGTACAAATAAAGATGTGCTCTCAACTTTGAAAGAATTGAAAAATAACCATCATTCCAGCAGTAAACAACTCCAACTAGTTAATGACGAAATATTTCATTTTCTTTATAATATATTGCTAAACAAAAGAACACACTGATACATTTTCACACATAAGTGCCTCAACAATTGATAAACCACCATGGAAATGATTCACAAACAAAAAAAATAGTACCATAATAGGAAAAGGAACTGGCCAGTTTATAAACGATATCGGTGACTGCTTTATAATCGAGTTAATCTCCTAGGTAGATTTGGCAAATTTGAAGATGTCATACAAATCAGTGTATGGGAAGATCAGCAATAGCAACTTAAACTCCCCAATTCTCAGGTTTTAATTGCACAGGAATATCACCTCAGAGTCCATTGATTGGTACTTTCTGCACACAACATCCTCTCATCTTGTGAACAAAAGCCACTCAGGCATGCTCAGCTACCCAGACAAAAATAAAATAGAGAAAAAAAAAAAAAAAAGCTAATCGGGGTGCACAAAGAAACAAAGGGAAGGCATGTGCAACTTGAGAAAGTGACGGCAACAATTAGTCATTTATTTATTTTCTTAAACTCTTACGTTAAAAAAACCAACAATCAGACTATGAACTAAAACATAGAATACAAAACCAAAGAACATGTAAACAAATAGATAAACAGGAATAACAAAACTAAAATTACCAGTTCTTACCAGAAGCAGCATTGCTCCCAGCACCAACTGAAACCGACAGCTCTGATTTCTGAGCAAAGCATTTGAACACGGTGGAAAACGATCTTAAGCCCTTAATTGCATGGCATGAATCCCAAAAGCTTTTGTTACAATTGGAAGTCAAGGGTCCCACAAAGGTTACTCAAGAGTAAAATAATGATCGTAATAACTGATGTATACATTAGAAACAAATGTTTTTAATTTTCTTTTCAACCAAATTCAAGCATGTAAAGATTGAATAGTAGAGACAGAAACAAAACCGAAAAATAAGTACAAAAATGCTTCGATGCTATTGTATAATGATATGGTTAGAAAGCCATGGCGAGGGAAACAAAAAAAAAAGACATTTTGTAAAAGCTTAGAGAATTTGGTAATGTATTTAGATGCCCATCAATATGTCAAATCTAAATCCTATAAAATTGCTCACTAAACTTAGGAGGTCAGAGATCCATTTGAATGGCATGTCTTCCTATGTTTATGTGTTTTTAACTTAAAAGATTTATTTAAGACAAAAATTTTGATTGAGTTGGTCTCGGGTTTAGCGAGAGGTGGTTTGGATTTTTGTATTTTAAATTTACAAATTGATATGGTCTTAATTGGAACTACAAATAAATTAAAATTGGTATCTATGATTTTATTATACAATTTATTGGTTAAAAATTTTGTTATTTGCAAGTTAGAGGTATTTGAGAGGGGGTGTTTTCAACTGTTGCCACCAATAGCATTTTCATTTATTTATTGAACTTCTTTTCACTCGTAGTGATTTCATAAACTTTTTACTCAAAGTTATTTAAAATGAAAATTACAAAAATTTCATTCACATGTACTATGATTCCACTACTATATTAACTTAAAACTCGTTGTTTTTATCGATAAAGAATTTCCATTTACCCATAAAATATATAGAAAATACGAACCTTAAAAAAATATTCATCATATTCAAGTGACTCAAGGGTAAAAATAAAATATTTTGGGCTTTGGAAGGTTAATATATATTAACTACTAATACGTGCTATATATATATATATATATATATATAAACATGAAACCGGGCATATTAATTTTAAAAAAAAACTCGCAAGAAGGGCAGGCAAATACCAATTTTTATTTTTTTATTTTTTTCATAAATAAAACCAAACAGCTCATAATATATATATATATATATATATAAATACATGAAACTGGGCATATTAATTTTAAAAAAAAAACTCGCAAGAAGGGCAGGCAAATACCAATTTTTATTTTTTTATTTTTTTTCATAAATAAAACCAAACAGCTCATAATTAGTGGTTAGACAATTAAAAGATAATGTTAATAATTAGTAGTTAGTAGTTAGCAAGTTAAGAGAAAAAAATCGTATTATTACAATGGATTGAATTATTACCTATATATTATTATTATAAAGTATTTTTAAATTTAAATATTTAAAATGATTTGAACTCATGATTTTTTTGCTGAAAGACTTAGGTAATCCAATTACAAAAAAAGAAAACTAAAGAAGGTGGGTTAAATAGTAAAATATTGTTTCTACATTGTTCAAATGCCTAAATTGACTATTCATCAAGTGTTCATTGGTGGCATTTTTTGTTATTTTTGCCAATGGTTTTTCTGTTATTTTTTAATGTTTTCTAGAGAGTATTATGCAAATTTAACATCTTTTAGCACCTCATGTTTTCTTAGAACATTTATGATTCCTTGTATTTTCAAAACATATTTGTGGTTTTTGGATGGAAAACAAAGAGAGAGAATGGAGGAAAGAGAAACGATTGATTAGGCTAGATTTTGATCTTTTTTTTTTTTTTTTTTTCCAGATCTAGATTGTTTGTATTTGTAATGAGAGTGCATTTGTGATCTTTTCAAGTCATAAAATGGTTAAATAAAGTAGATCGTAGTTCAAAACAAATTTATTTTCTGATTTTTAATGTGCATTGAGATGGTTTTTAAGGTTTTAAACGAGTTTATTGATCTTATTTCTATTGTTTTGAGGTGTTTTGGAGCAAAAATGATACCGAAAATGAGTTTGGGGTCTCTGAAAACGTAACCTTGATTTTCAAAGAGGATTTCGATGAATTTCAATTCATCGGAAGTTGCAAGTTTTGTTTTTGTTTTTGTTTTTTAGCGCCACCTAGCTTGCCTCTCCGGGTTGAGGTGGCTCATCTTGAGCTGATCTGCTCCTGAAGCCCAAGCGCACAGGCTTGCTTCTTTAGGCTCGTGGGCAGGGTTTTTTTTTTTTTTTTTTAGCAATTTAGGTTTATTGTTATTATTATTATTGAATTGGGTGAAAAAATTATAAAAAAACAATCGTCTTTTTACACATACTAATAATTATGAAGCATATACAATGTTTTTTTTTCAAACTATATATATTATTTTCACTATTTAAAACTTCTCTCTTCAATTTGCATTATGAAAATTCTCATCAAATTATTTTTTTTAGTTTTTATTTTTTTATGTAATTTTTTTGTTACTAAATATGATTTATTTTTCTCTATGTATGAGATTTTGAATTAGTTTTTTTTTAAAAAATAAATTATCAATTAAATAATAGAATTCACATGTTTTATTTCCTTAATCTTTGTACGGTAAAATTTTATTGAATAAATTTTATAGTGATTTTTATTGTACTTCATTAACTTCAATATATTCCTTATAAATTATTTTTGAAAAAATACTTTGTGATTTATTCCGCATACTCGACCTTCCGAGTATGGTCATAATGTATTAAAAAATTTAAAATTATTGATTTTATTAAAAATTATCTATGCATCCGCACGCATAACACCAATAATTTGTGTTTATTTTTTTCAAATATTCTAAAATTAATTTCGTTAAAATAAATTAATTAAATCATCAATTAAATAATATAATTCATATGTTTTATTTCCTTATTCTTTGTACAATAAAATTTTATCACACTAAAGTTTGTAGTTATTTTTATTGCACTTCATCTTCAATATATTCTTTACAAATTATTTTTTAAAATGCTTTGCTATTTATGCTCGCGCACTCTAACCCACCGAATATGGTCATAATGTATAAAAAAAATTGAGATCATTGGTTTTATTGAAAATTATTTGTGCATCTACACACATAGCACCAATAATTTGCATTTAATTTTTTTCAAATATTCTAAAATTAATTAAAGTAATATTTTTGAAGTGTCGTCTAATAATTCGGATGCATCTTTTTATACTAATATTATTTATTATTTTATAAATATATATGTGTTAATCAAATATAAATATTTTCAAAAACATAAAAAATTCATTTGTTAATTTTTATACAAGTTTTTATATTGATTGTTGTTTTTTTATTCGATGCGATCTTATGAAAACAAATGTCAAGACCTTTTTTTAAATTTCATTTTACATTATTATAGGTTTTTATTTAAGAATTAATGAATAACGAAGAACAAATCATGTTTTTTAATAAAAAAATATTAAAGATATTAATAAGAATAAATCAAATATAAAAATTTGATTAAAAATATAAAATTAGATGATTTTATTTTTTTTAATTTAATATATTTTAATATATTTATGAAATAACACATGTTATAAAATTGTAATAATTTTTTAAATTAATTTTATCAGTTCTATTTGATCCATGGTGTAACACGGATAAGCATTTAGTAGCTCGCTACATTTCATATGGTAACGGTACAATCTAATCAGCCCAGCATAAATTTTAAATAAAATATTAGCTCAGCATTGTTTAATAGACTTTTGGTGATTTCATTTTCAATCCTCTCAGCCCAGCATAAATATTCCCGGGCTGCCAAAAAATAAAATATTAGAAATTAAAAGCAGTAGGCTGGGTTTTAATACTATGGGCTTAGATCCTTCTCTCTACTAAAATCAATTGTGATAGTCGATAAAAATAAAAAATAAAAAAAACTTACTTTTAGCTCAATCAATTCTAGCTACTTTGTAAGGTGGATAATTTCTAGCTTGCTTTTGTTTTCCCACAATGCACTTTAAGTTGATAATTTCAGCGATGGCCTTGGCTAGATTGTTCTTGATGTTCGTCATCAATTGCTTTCTGCATAATTAATAACAAACAATTGATTATGAGTTAATGTCGCTAAACTTCGTATTTGTTTAATGAATTGAAACCCAGAAGTTAATCAGAGGGAGAAAAGAAAAAAAAAGAGAATGCAAACCTAGCTCAGATTAGTTCTTAAGCTATATAGCCCATGCTCATCTCATCTCAGTGGAATTCTAAAAGAGTCAAAGTTTACAGTTTTTGTATGGCATCTTCAAGAAATTTCAACATGGGCTCGTTTACCATCTTCATATTCTTCTGCGGATTTGTCTGCTTGTGAAATAGTTTATGTGGGTTATTTTCAAGTGCTCATTTTTCAAATTTTGGAAGTGTCATTTTCAATATCTAACGGTGCTTGAAAATATTGAACATGGAGGCCACAGAAGGATCAAAGAAGTCACAGTTCATATCTACGCACAATACCTTAAGCCAATATCTACGCACAATATCTCTTTGACTTAAAGCCAGACAAATCCACTTACCATCTTCATATCTCTGTGAAATAGGAAAAGTCTTTGTTAGAGATTAATATAAATTATATTCTAGGACCTCACCTCTCGACTTAAGCTTTTAGGTGAGATGATCTTTTAATATGGTATCGAAAGCTTAGTTGACCTTGAGGTCTTAAGTTCAAGTCTCACCATTCCCAATTTCTCAAGTATTAAGCACAAGACAATATAGACTCGTGCAAGTTTCATGCCTCAAATGTTAGACATTTCACTTGAAGGAGTATGTTAGAGACTAATATAAATTATATTCTAGAACCTCATCTATCAACTTAAGCACTCGTGACTTCTTTGATCCTTCTGTGGCTCCCATGTACAATATTTCCAGGCACTGTTAGATATTGAACAAAATGCAGGTTTGAACATGCCCTGTTAGATATTGGATGGGCTATATAGCTTAAGCCAACTAAATTTACACGTTGGATTGGGAATTCTTGAAAACTTTGAGGATTTAATTAACATCGATTTTTTTTTTAAGAATTTCATTTAGATTTGAGTTGTAACCTGAGGACTAATCTGATTCTCAAAGAGTCAAAGTTTACAGTTTTTGTATGGCATCTTCAAGAAATTCAACTTCTTTTTCAAGAAAATTCCAGACAAAATGGACAAAATATTTATAAATGCTGATGTGAAAAAGAAATTCAACTTCTTTTTTTTTTTTTTTCAAAGAAAAGGAAAATGCTCAGAGTTTAATGTTTCTACGTTTTGACCCTCTCAAAAAAAAAAAAAAAAAAAATCTAGATTTTGACATTGTAATAGTCAAGCCAGTATAAATGCAATCTTCTAAGGAAATGCAATCTTTCGTTAAAAATGCAATCTTTATTGAACACTTCAATTCACTCAATCCTGGGCCAAAATTATGGAAACAAAAATTAAGATAATAGTGGAGTACTTGAAAGATTTTGCTTATCCAAACATTAACATTTCTAAGGAAATTAAGTTTCATATTTAGCCTTTCTCTCGTATTTCTATTGTTAGTTTTTCTTTTTTTTCAGTTTAGTAAATATTGACTGTCAAGTGAGTATATCTATTAATATTTGAATATATTAGTTTTTATATCAATATGTCTATTGACGTATCGTATCTTATGTCACTATTTATTATTGTTTCGAAAACGGATCATTGCTATTTTAAAACTATGAAAAGAAACAAAAAATATACATGCCAAAGATTTTAAACAGACCCTCAGCACTAAACTCTCCGAGAGATGAGTTTTTCATCTGTCATCACAAGTAGGAACTTTTTGTAGGAACTTGGTAGGAACTTTTTGTAGGTACCTGTGATAGGTAATAAAATTATATTCTGTGGCCCTGCCAGGTGAGCATTGCTATTATCAGTCTTCCCCATTCTACGTGTCCACTTTAGGTTGGAAAAATTGAACATGAAGTCCTTTTCCTACTTCCTTCTTTCGTTACCTGTGATAGGTTAAATACCATACCTTAAGCCACTCTTCGATAGGAGAATTTAGCTTAATAGCAGGAGAAAGAAGAATTTGAAGAATATGGAAAATGAGCAGGCAAGTAGCGGTGGTGTCACAAGAGAAAGGTGAATATATATATATATACCAACATACATCTTGCTTAAAAATCTGTCTATGAAATGATGGAGTACTATAATTAAATTAATTAATGCTAACAATCTTTGTTTTGTTCATAATCCAAAGTAATCCCATATATGTTTATGTTTTGGTTATATATGCAAGGGAACAATTGCGGCTCATGAAGAGTTTCATCACTGCGATGCATGCTGCCATCTGCTTTCTCATTTTTGTGTTGCTAGCTCTCCTCCAAATCAAATATCAAAACAAAGGAATGTCCCCTTTTGAGGCACACGGTACCATTATATTGCTTTTCATTGTGTCCTCCTTTGTCTACTCGATGGCTTTGCTTGCTTTCATAGCTCTACTACTACGAGCCCACCAGCAGCAGTTGGAAGCACTTTGTTTCTTCACAGTTCTTAAGCACATTTCTCTCGTTTCTGGAGCTCTTACTTGCGATTTACTCCTCTTGATACTCTGCCCTGCCTTTGGATACTTTGTGTTGATCTTTTGTGGAGTTGTCATACTTGTGAGGGCACTCCTTGGATCCTACCAGCAAATTCTTGGTCGGTTGCTAGATGTTGCAGCCACCGCAGTAATAGCAAGAGACCTGATCCTGCATTTTTTCCATGGATCAAGTCCGCAGGAGGCTCATAATCAGGCATATAGCATGGCATGTGTTTGCTTCTCTCTAATTTTTCTTTCTACTTCTACAAATTACATGCTATTAAGAGGCTGCAAATCATCAAGAAACTTAATCTTTATCATGTACTAAACATACTTGTTCGTACCATGTTTAGTTAAGCTGATTAATTAGTTTTTTGTACTTTGTTTTTTTCCAATAATATTTCAGGTTTCTTCATCAATGACCAATGTTTCTACAAATCTCAACTCGACTAATCAAGGAGGTGGAGATCACACTACAACTCAAATTGTTAGTGTGTAAATCAGTTTCATGACTTGCATAAGTAATATCCATAAGATTTAACTACGTCGAGAACAACTGCTTTGATTTAAAATAAATTGGTGTTTTATATATAGTTTCTTAATTATAACTAATTAGTATGGTTATTTGTGAGAGATCCATGTTTATTATTTCATCATATGTTTGCAAGAATGTTATTAAATATGATATCATATTAAAATGACTTGGTAAAATTTTGGATCAAATTGTTTCTGAAGTTTAGTTTATTTAAAAATCAGTTTCTAAATTTCTAATTTCGAGTCTAACCTTTTCGAATTTTATATTTTATTTTTAAAAAAATTAATAGTAAATAGTTGATGTTATATTTATAGATGCATAATTATTTTTTAATAAAACTGGTGATTTTTTTTTTACACATCATGATTATACTTAATAAGTTCAGTGTGTGGAAAAAGAGAGGGAGAGAGAGAGTGTCTGTACTCAATAAGTTCAGAGCGTGGAAAAAGAGAGAGAGAGAGAGAGTGTGTGTGTCTGATAGGAATACATTAAATAAATTTAAAATTAATAAGCTAAAATAAAAAATATTATAAAATTAATTTCATAAATTCTGAATATATAAAAGAGCAAAGAACACATGTTAAATATTTTTTTAAATTGATTATTTTAAAATGTAATTTTCTTTTTAATTTAAGACAATGTATCTTAAATATATTTCTAACCTTTATATTATATATTTAAAAATTATAAAAAATCATTATATAAATTATATTAATATATTTTAAAAAGTAAAAAAATAATCACATTCTAAAATTTTATTCAAAATCCATATATAGAAAAAAAAATATCATATTTTCTTAATAAATAAAGTAATATGAAAAAATAAATTATGAAATTAATTAGATGTTTTCATAAAAAATGACATCCAAGAAATCATATTTCTTCATCGCCAAGTTGCATGAATTTTTTTAAAAAATAAGGATTGTTTTTTCATAAATTTAGCACAAAATCAATTAAAAAAAAAAAACAATTAAAAAATTTGCTGAAAAAAACCAAGCCAAGCTTACGCTTTGGGCGTACACAAACAGGTCCAATTGGCCACATATAAAAGGATAAAAAAGAGAGAAATCCCATGGACGATGCATCGACCACTACAATTTCCAATGAACTTTAATTTGTCAAAAACGTTCGCCAGAAAAACAGCTTTTTAATTTTTTTACTCCAAACCTTTTTGCTCACAAATGAAGTTGTGTATCAAAACAAGAGATTTGAAAACACTGCTAAAAATACAGAATTGAGATAGGCTTTCCCTTTCCCGACCAGTGAATGATTTTAAATTAATCTACAGAACAGAAAACATTGTTTCAAAAATGTCGCAAAAAGGAAAAACACAAGTTACCTCAATAGTCATCCCTTACCTCCAAGATCAATTACACATTCATGGACCATTTTAGGGATTCTTCCTGTTTGATTGTATTTCAAACAAGCCGCCTTCCTCTTTCATCAACCATCTAGGAATTCTACAGAATACCATATTTGTGTTCTCAAATTGGCTATTCATTTTGTTGACGTCAGTTTATTTTTTGGAGCCACATGTTTCTGGGGAAGCGCTCTCCACCCAATATCTCGCCGGTAGAACCCTCCTGGCCAGTTGACTTCCTCAACTGCTTGATAAGCTCGGTCCCGTGCCTCTTCAAGATCTCTTCCGGTGGCAGTGACCCCAAGAACTCGTCCCCCAGTAGCAATTAAGTTGCCATCTGAGTCCACAGCTGTTCCAGCATGGAATATCTTGACTGTTGGAGCAACATTCTCAGCCTCTTCTAGGTTTCGAATCATAGTCCCCTTTTCATAGGACCCAGGGTACCCCTTGCTTGCCATAACAACCACCATGGCAGACCCTGGAGACCATTTCAGGGATACTCCACTTAGCTCTCCTCTACTAGCTGCAAGTAGAACTTGTGCTAGATCTGATTCCAACCGAACCATCAAAACCTGCATATTCAACCAAAAGAATCTCCCATTAATTTTATGTCACAACTATTGATATACTGACTTCCTGTAACTTTTGAGGAATAATCATGACAACCAAAATCTGACGGTCAATTTATAATTTGTTTTCATGCACAAGCACATGCACATAAAAGATAATCAGCGCAACCTCCCCACTCATCATAGCCGATAGATAAACCAACTGGATATTGCTTTAGTTTATCCAAACAGTCATAATTTGGAGTGAAGAAACCATAAGAATTCTGAATTATATCATCCTGTTTATTAATAATTTGGACAAAGTCTTCAACTTGACCCAACAATGCCACAAACCTGTTAGGGAAAAAACTTAAAACCACCTCTTTTAATGGGATGCCTAAACATCTAACAGTTTATACCGTCAGTCAATGTTAAAAGAATAATAAGATAAAACTGACAGAGTAATATTCTGGCCGAAACTATTCCTCATCAAGATGCGGTTATCAATACATGCAGCAGTGACAATCAGATATGTAACAGCAGCTTTGCACAGAATTGTGATTACCAGAACAGCAAGCTTCGAAAGAATATACATTATATTCAGTATCATGCATCTCAAACCGGATATCAGAACAAAATGATAGAAGGTTTTCACCTGGGAGTGTCTAACTACCGACAAGCTGTATATGACCAAACTCTACACTTTGACCATTGAGCCTAGAGGAGAACGAATATGTTGCCAAACCAACAGTTGAAACAACCATTTTTCCAAATCATTAGTAACATAAAAGGGGTGTAGGGCAGGATCTCAATCAAGATATTGCTTTTCTGTAGGATTTGCACTTTAATCATGCAGCAAATGTTGCATGGGACCCCAACACTATTTCCAAAGGCACAAGAATAACAACAAAATGAGACAAGAATATGGGGAGAGAAACCAAAAGAAAGCTGTTACATACCCAGGAAAACAAGGACAAGCCTTCTGGGTGTTCCCTTTCACCATTTACTCCTATATATATATATCCTAAGCCCACTGTGTGAACAGATACTGTAAACTACCAAAAAAATGATAACCCACTATATACAGAGGTCTAGTGAAATCATGCAGCCAACTTATCCAACAAACAGAAATCAGCATTGCTAAATATTTTTGAAGGCTTATTAGGGTCTGTATCTGACCTGACACTCAGGATCGCCAAAGCGTACATTGTACTCAATTAGCTTAGGTAAGCCAGAGTTCTTCTCAATCATCAACCCAGCATACAAAACCCCTACAAACTTGCAACCCTCTGCTGCCATTCCCTTCACCGTTGGGAGAATTATAGTTTCCATGACCACTGACTGAAGTTCTTTTGTCAATACTGGTGCTGGAGAGTATGCCCCCATCCCACCAGTATTGGGGCCTGTATCTCCATCACCAACTCTTTTATGGTCCTGAGCAGATTCTAGAGGAATAGCATTCTCTCCATCCACCAGGGCAAAAAAAGATGCTTCTTCTCCTTCCAGAAATTCTTCAACAACGACGCGACAACCTGCAGAACCAAAAACACTCTTCACAAGCATTGAATCAACAGCTTTGTATGCCTCCTCCAGTGTAATGGCAACAATAACTCCCTTTCCAGCAGCCAAGCCATCTGCTTTTATGACAATCGGTGCTCCCTGGTCCTGAATGTATTGCTTTGCAGCAGATGGATCTGTGAATGTTCGGTACTGCAACAATAAACAAAGGTTTGATAACAGGGTTTACAGGAACAAAGAACCGGGAAAGCAAAGACGGTAACTTGAAAATTTTAGTTAGGCAAAAATGAGAGGATGCCAGGCACACTATCTTGTTTCATTTTATTTTCTTTGCATTTTCCAAGAAAAGAAATACTGATGAACTAAGACTAGAAGAAAAGAAATGGCAATTGGAAAAGTTTAACACAAGCAAGAAGGTATTTTGTCTGCCTGGTAACTAAAACGAAAAAGGGTAAAAAGAATAAACCTTAGCAGTAGGAATTTCATATTTGTCACACAAATTTTTCATGAAGTTCTTTGAACCTTCTAAAGCAGCAGCTTCTGCTGATGGCCCAAAAGTAGGGATTCCAGCTTTCACTAAATCATTTGCAAGGCCAGAAACCAAAGGTGCCTCTGGTCCCACCACAACCAGTCCCACACCCCATTTGCGGCAAAAGGAGATCACAGCCGAGCTATCAGAGATGTCAAGCTCTGGAATACATGTGGCATTTCCAGAGTTAGAAATCCCTGCATTGCCAGGAGCACAAAAGACTGCATCGCAGGAGCGAGATCGCTGCAAGGCATAGCAGAGTGCATGTTCTCTTCCCCCTCCACCAATAACCAGCACAACCACCCTCTCATCTGCAAAATTAGTAGGTGAGGAAGGATCAATGAATAAGAAAAAAGTAACTAATTTAACCCAATTCTTTGCGTCTCCAATCTCAATTAAAAAAAAAAAAAATTGTCCCAAAATATCCTATGAAGCAGTCTCCTCGAGAAAGTAACAAGGCAGTGTATAAACAAAATCAATAAAATTTAAAAGAATCCATGCACAGATAAAGAGGTGGTCTCAAGTTTAAAAGAATTGAAAAACAGTCATCATTCCAGCACTAAAAACTCCACCTAGTTAATGACAAAATATTTCATTTTCTTTCTAATATATTGCTAAACAAAAGAACACACTGATACATTTTCACACATAAGTGCCTCAACAATTGATAGACCACCATGGAAATGATTTGCACAAAAAATATAAAAAAAAACTAGTACCATGATAGGAAAAGGAACTCGCCAGTTTATAAAAGATATTGGTGACTACTTTATAAACGAGTTAATCTCCTAGGTAGATTTTGCAAATTTGAAGATGCCATACAAATCAGTGTTTGAGAAGATCAGCGATAGGAACTTAAATTCGCCAATTCTAAGGTTTTAATTGCAAAGGAAAATCATCTCAGAGTCCATTAACTGGTACTTTCTGCACACAACATCCTCTCATCTTGTGAACAAAAGCCACTCAGGCATGCTCGGCTACCCAGACAAAAATAAATTAGAGAAAAAAAAAAGCTAACTGGGTACTCAAAGAAACAAATAGGAAAAAAATAAAAGAAGTGGCAGTGACAGCTGCACGTCCTAAAAGGAGAAAATTATGGAACTCCAAACTCATACCAAAGGCAAAGGCATGTGCAACTTGAGAAACTGACGGCTCGTATACATCATTCTACAAGTCTACTAACAATCCAACTATAATTTAAGCATCAAAACAACAAAAACCAACAAAAGTTGCAACAATTAGTCATTTATTTATTTTCTTAAACTCTTACGTTAAAAAAACCAACAATAAGACTGTGAACTAAAACATAGAATACAAAACCAAAGAACATGTAAACAAATAGATAAACAGGAATAACAAAACTAAAATTACCAGTTCTTACCAGAAGCAGCATTGCTCCCAGCACCAACTGAAACTGACAGCTCTGATTTCGGAGCAAAGCATTTGAACACGGTGGAAAACGATCTTAAGCCCTTAATTGCATGGCATGAATCCCAAAAGCTTTTGTTACAATTGGAAGTCAAGGGTCCCACAAAGGTTACTGAAGAAAACGACTTGCCGAAGAAACAAGATTGCTTGCTTGAAGGTTGAAAGTTGTAGCTGTTGCTGTTGTGGAGCAGTTTGAGAGAAGGTGCTAGGTTTAAGGTAGCACAAGACATGCTTCTACTCCTATGCTATTGAGCAGGTTTTGTTTAAACTCAATTTCCTCATATCCCAAACCAATTTGGGATTGAGGGCTTGGTTATTGCTGTTGCTGTAAAACTGTAAAAAATAATAATAATAATAACAAATAAAAATAAATAAAGATGAAGATGTGTTAGGTGCTTAGCAAAGAAACAGATAAAATGAGGGGTTGAGATTCCCCCATTAGATTACCAACACAATGATCTGTTTACAATCTTTGTTACAGAAACCAAATAAATGTTTTCGTGCTTCATCTCCCAAAAAATATAGAACGTTTTTCTAGTTACACAACTGTAAATTCATATATTTCATTGCACTGGTACTGGCACACGAAAGTGATTGTTATAAACAAGTACAGTGACACCATTGCCCGTTATATCTATCTCAAGTTGGGCAATTTGATAGCCTTTACACCTAAAAGTTGTTAAAACAAGACACGGAAGAGAACAGATGTATACTGAAAAGCACCAGGTTTTGGTTTTCTCAGAAACAACACAATCAAGGGTTGGCTCTGAAGTAAATAACTAGAGCAAACCAATTCAAAACAAAAACAGCACATAGACAAAAATGGCATCCCAGACTAACCCAGAACTGAAACTTTGCCCCTCTAATTAAAAAAAAAAAAGAAGAAGAAGCAGAAGTAACTTAAGGAACCGAAGAAAAGCGTACGCTACTGGTACGAAAAGAAGCAGGTTAGAAACCCCATTAACAAAATAGCAGATGTTTTGCAATTTACCTTATGAAATCGATTGAAAGTCGACTTGTACAGGGAAGGAGAAGGAGAGTGTACAGGGTAGAGAGAAACAACTGTAGTGTAGGGTTGGGTGCAAGAGAATGGGAGACGGCAGATTTTAAAGAGAAGAAAGGGTTGACAGAACAGAAGGAGCTAAGACAAAACCCCCCACCCACTGGAGGTTTTTGTTTGTGTGTTTGCGTAGCCAAATAAAATATATACGGCGAATTTGCTGGAAATTAGCTTATTTTTTAATTTCTGTATCTAAGTTTTCTTAATATTACAATTTAATTTTTTTTAAAATATTATTTTTCCCGATCCATAAAATTTTTTATTTTACTTTGATCCCTCCTTTTAGTTTCATTTTGATCCTTATTTTCTCTCTGATTTTTTTACTTAAAAATTTTAAGATAAAAAAATGCCCAGAAAAAAAATTTATAATATAAGTTTTTCGCTAAAAATATATAAATAAAAAATATTTTTTAATAAAAAATTTATAAAAATATAAAAAATAATTAATTAAATACAAAATTTTAATTAAAATATTATAAAATTAAATAAATTTTTATTTGATATATTTTGAAATACTCATAATATAATACAAAACATTAAATTAAAATAATTTTATTTGTTTCGTACAACTCGCAACGTAACACGGATAATAAAAACTAATAAATAACTATAAAAAAATAAATTCTAACTCAATATATGACCTTTTTTTTTCTTTTTCAATTTTTTTTAAATAAATTAAATAGAATTTGAGTATATATGCATATGGCAAGAGGAACACATTTATATTTTAGGAGCTGACACAATAACTAGTATATACACAGAAAAGCCTTGAAACATTCTCAAATCTCAAGAGAATGTGAACCTCTATAGATGCCGAGTGCGACTCATGATTACAGATTGTTTGGAATTGTGTCATCCCTATACAAGAAAAGAATTGTGAACCACCAAAACTATTCTGGATAAAAATCAATGTCCATTCGTGGACCTCTTTGAAGTTTATCTTGTAGATCTAATTGTTTGGGTAGCACAAGCTCAGTTCCCTCACCGAACGTCGCAAAATATCTCTCTAAAACCATCTGCAACCAGAAAGGGGCAATAAAAGAGAAACAAAAGGAAGAGTTAGCAGAAAGTCTGGAAACATTACAATATGCATACATCGAAATCTCCTCGGCATGAGATTGAAATAAAATGTGATAGCGCACCACAGCAGCATTGGCATCAACTTTCTTTTGCCGAGTAGACTTGCCGAGGCCCCTGAAAGAGTCGAGACATAGTCGTCACAGACCGGTAAATAACAGTCCCGCCTATTGAGACATTTATTTTGTCAACTACAGAAACATTCTTTGTTTTTGGCAAAATAGTATCCTACAAATTAATAGGAAACATAGTTTATAACTGCCTGTCCAATTTTCGCATTCAGTGTAATAATGCAAACCTTTAATTTAACAACCTGTATTTATGCAAGGTAAGACGCAGCATCAACAAAACATGCAGAATAAGGCATTGTGAAGCACCATCCCTGTCACAACATCTATTGAGAATCATGTGTAGCACAGAAAAGAAAGAACCAAATTAACACAGCCGAAAAGTCTAACGTCCACCAAAAAACACGACTCTTTCCTATTGATGATCGCGGTGATACCATCATAGCACACCTAGTCTGTGCATTTAGATGCGATCAACAAGTAACAAACCAATTCATTACACATGCAACTCGAAAGAAAATCCTAACTTGCAAGCAATTCAAAGATATAGACCGATTTCGCAAAGATGAGTGAATTCAACTGAGGATGGATAGCATGGTGCTAAATAACCACAATAATATATCTAAAAGAGTAGCACTAATATAAAATGCTTTAAGGGAACCATTACATGTTAATCATACGGTCAGTGGCTTCTGTTGATGTGCCATGTTCATCTTGTAGGTACACTCTCCAACCCCTGAATTTTTCTTAAAACTGTGAATAATAATGATAGCAATGACAGTAATAGTAATCCATATCTAAATGAACAGAAGCAGAATAAGCATAGAAACAAAAGGGCAGGAATAGTTTCACCTGTCAGCAGCAAGAACAGCAAACCTTCCAGCAACACTACGAACTTTGTTGGATTGTGGGGTTTCCTTACCATCCCAAGATCTTGGAAGCCCAATTATGAATTCATCCACCTCCTGTACACAAATCATCATTTTCTTATACTATTATCAACTGGGCTACTTTTTTTTTTTTTTAAGACAAGACAACAAGAGAATTTCGAACCTCGTTTTCTGCAATTTCAAGAAGTCGAAGCTCAAGCTTTTGTCCTCGCAATTCCAAAACCTAAACATAATAATAAGTAAGATTCTAAAAAAAAAAAATCTAAATCTTTAAATATTAATTTGTAAGAATATATGGTAGTATTACCAAGAGAGGACGAACAATGCAGCCTTTGCTGAGGGCAAGACCAGAGCGAGACAGTCCCAAGTCTACCCCTAGACTGAACCCTCCTCTCCACAGTGGGTCAATCTTCCGGCGAAGGGCATTGGGGGGTATTTCTTCAATGGATAACACTGCCCTTAATCTTCTTGGACTTGGCTTGTTATTATCAAGTCGAAGACAAGAAGTGCTGTAGTTGGGAATTACGAGATTGGTGGGTGCCCTTTTAGAGAAGATGAGCAACTGGTTTGAGTTTGAGACTGAGACTGAGAGTGAACAACACATTTTTCCTCCACCTCCAAGTTTCTGTCTTTCTATCAGATCAAGGTTCAGGTTCAGGCCTTGAATTTGAGGAAGTCAAGGCAAACTGGTTCTGTTCTTTTTCATGCTGAACTAGCCCATTGCAGTACTACAAGGCCCAGGTTGAACTAGAGTCTAAACTCACCTGTTCTAAACTTTAACTCATCCAACAGTTCTTCTCTTCAGTTTCAATTTTGAACTTTACCTCTTTCTAACCATTTCTTTTGAAATCAAGTACTTCTGTTTAGTATTGTCGGAACCGAACCGACAGGGAACCGCTAAAGGAAGCCAGGTCACAGGCTCACTGCCGGTTCAAAGCTCCTGTCGCAGCCAGAGCTATTCACTGTTTGGTTTCAATAAAAAAAAAAAAAACTAAATTAAACCGAATCGAAATAACAACTTCGATTCAGTTTTAACCCAAAAATTAAAAAACTGAAAGTTGATTATTTAAAAAAAAAAATTCCACTAACTCATTGCATAAACATTAAACAACAAAAAATCTTAACATCTTCAATAAACGTATTATGTTACATCCAATTAGATGTAGAAACTAATAGAAAGATTTAATTTTGAATAAAACATAATTCAAGAAAGTCAAATCTAAAATAGAAATTTGAAAAACTAATAAAAAATTGAAATAAAATTTGGAGAAGATAGTACCCATTTAGTCCTAAAATTGTGAAATATAGGTAATTTCATGGTAAATAAATTCGTTAGATTGTTACTTTGATATATTTTTTAAAATTGAATTATGCAAGTATCATTATTTTCATTTAATATTATTGGAATTTTTTGTTGATAGATAAACCACATGTCTCTCGGATATAATAGATCGTTGATTTTAATCAAATACATTCTCGACTTACCTCATAAATCGATATTTCGCATAATTTGAATATTTAGTAGCTATAATTTGTTTCATGGAACATCATAATATACTCGTATCATTGTGTGTAAACACATAATCCATTTGTAATTGAGTTTTATATACATGAGATAAATAACTTGTATATGCATAATTAACTTTTTATCTTCTTATGTCTTCTTATGGTATGTCTTGCTAGGTAAAAAGGATAAAAACATGTTGAGGATATTGTATTGTAGCCATAAATATATTATTGTTTAATTTCATACCCATAAAGAAATTAAACCCAAACTTCCTAAAAGTATTTGGAGATGCAATTGCACTTCCAAAAGAGTGATAACCTAACAACCATATATCATATATAATTGGAAAATTCCTATTATCCTTAAATCCCCTGATTGGTCTTCTTTTGTCGACAAATTATGCATCCGTGCTTTTTCCTTCATTAACCTATCTATATGATAAAAAATTTGTCATAAAAGATTGCCAAAAGTAGGAATATAGCTAGTTCAGCAAAAGTTACATGCATATGCAATGACACAAAATCTGACATAAAATTGTTGCCTTGTTTGGAATGTGATTAACAAGTGCGAGCTTTGAAGAAAGATATAGCATAGGAAGCCAGAATCCATACAACATCTGTGATTGGACTTCAAATTTAAGGAAATATTTTTTTTTTTTTTGGATAAATGAAAATTGTTATTGATAAAAAAAAAAAAAAAAAAGCAACAAGTAAGAGCTCAACCTACTACAAAACATACATAATATTATCACCTGTGAGAACATATTAGATAAACATCTATATATTCCTCATATATTACAAACTAAGTTAGACTTGAGATTATAATTTTAAATTATGGACACAGTTAAAAAAATAGCTATGATTGCAAATCGTAGTTTATCGCGAGAGTAAAATAATGATTATAGCAATCGATATTGTAAATACATTAGGAAAAAATATTTTTAATTTTCATTTCAACCAAATTCAAGCCTATAAAGAGTTACTAATAGAGACAAAACAAAACTGAAAAAATAAGTACGAAATCACTTAAGTAGGTTGCAAAGTACAAGGTTGATATATATATATATATATATATATATATATATATATATATATATATATATATATATATTGTCATTATTTATGTGAAACAAAGATATGATCTCTATTCCATAAAACATCAAATAACGAGTAATAGAGTGCTCGATGTTGTTATATGACAATATGGTTGGAAAGCCATGGCGAGAAAAAAAGCAAGACATTATGTAAAAGCTTAGAGAATTTAGCAATGAATTTAGATGCTCATCAATATGTCAAATCTAAATCCTATAAAATTGCTCACTAAACTAAGAGAAATCCATTTGAATTGTATGTCTTCTTGTGTTATGTGTTTTAACTTGAAAGATTTATTTAAGACAAAAATTGGAGATCGAAGATCCATTTGAGTGGTATATCTTCTTATGTTCATGTGTTTTTAACTTGAAAGATTTATTTAAGAAAAAAATTTTAATTGAGTTGGTCTCGGGTTTAGCAAAGATGGTTTGGATTTTTGTATTTTAAATTTACAAATTGGTATGGTCTTCATTGGAACTACCAATAAATTAAAATTGGTATCTATGATTTTATTATATAATTTATTGGTTAAACATTATGTTATTTGCGAGTTAGAGGTATTTGAGAGGGGGTGTTTTCCATTGTTGCCACCAATAGCATTTTTATTTGTTTATTTAACTTCTTTTCACTCGTGTTGATTTCATAAACCTTTTTACTCAAAGTTATTTTAAATGAAAAATACAAAATTTTCATTCGCATGTACTATGATTCCACTACCATATATTAACTTAAAACTCGCTGTTTTTATCAATAAAGAATTTCCATTCACCCATAAAATATATAGAAAATATGAACCTTAAATATTATTTTTTTTGTCATATTCAAGTGACTCAAGGGTAAAAATAAAATATTTTGGACTTTGGAAGGTTAATATATATTAACTACTAATTTTTTTAAAAAAAACTAGCATGAAGCACGGGCAAACACCAATTTTTTTTTTTTCATAAATAAAACCATACAACTCATAATTAGTGGTTAGATAGTTAAGAATTAGTATTAATAATTAGTAGTTAGTAGTTGGCGAGTTGAGAGAAAACAATCGTATTATTACAATGGATCGAAATATTACTAATTTTCAAATTTAAATATTTAAAATGATTTGAACTCGTGATTTTTTATGAAAAGACTCAAGTAATCCAATTACAAAAAATAAAAATAAAAATAAAAATTTGGGATTTTTAAATAGTAAAACGCTATTCTTAAACTGTTCAAATGCCTAAATTCATCATTCATCAACTTGTTCATTGGTGGCATTTTTTCTTTGTGTTTTGCCTATGGTTTTTCTATTATTTTTGTATGTTTACCGAGCAATAATATGCAAATTTAACATTCTTTAGTCCCTCGTGTTTTCATAGAATATTTTTGATCCGTCATATTTTCAAAACATACTCGTGGTCCTTGGATGAAAAACAAAGAGAGAGAATGGAGGAGAGAGAAACGACCGATTAGGTTTCTTCACCAAATCTTGCATCTAGATTATTTTTATTGGTAATGAGAGTGCATTTATGGTCTTTTCAAGTTATACAATGATTAGATAAAGTAGATTAGAGCCCAAAACAAATTTTATTTTTTGATTTTTAATGTGCATTGAAATGGTTTTTGAGGTTCAAAATGATTTTATTGACCTTAGTTTATTTATTTTGAGGTGTTCTTAAGCAAAAATGATGCTGAAAATCAGTTTTGGGTCCGTAAAAACGTAACCCCGATTTTTCGATAAGGATTCTAGTGAATTTCAATTCATCGAAACTTGCAAGTTTTGTTTTTTTTTTTTTAGGGCCGTCTAAGCTTGCTTCTCTAAACCTAGGCACCTCGTCTTGAGTCGACCTACTCCTACAGTCCAAGCGCACGAGCTCGCTTCTTTAGGCCGACGGACAATCTTTTTTAGCAATTTAGGTTTATTATTAATGAATGGGTTGTGAAAATTATAAAAAAAAACCACTTGTTATTTTTTTTACACATATTGATAATTATGAAACATATACGATGTTTTTTTTTAATTTTGGAATATATATATATACTATTTAAAACTTATCTCTTCAATTTGTATTATGAAAATTATCATCAAATTATTTTTTTTAATTTTTTATTGATAAATATGATTTATTTTTTTCTATGTATGGAATTCTAAATTACTTTAAAAAAAATAAATCATCAATTAAATAATAGAATTCACATGTTTTATTTTATTATTCTTTGTATAATAAAATTTTACTGGAATAAATTTTATTGTACTTTATTAACTTCAATATATTCCTTATAAATTATTGAAAAAAATACTTTGTGATTTATACTGTACACTCTAACCCGCGAGTATAGTCACGATTTATGAAAAAAATTGAGATCATTGGTTTTATTAAAAATTATATTTGCATATGCACAAATAATACCAATAATAAATTTTATTGAAAATTATTTGTGCATCTACACACATAGCACTAATAATTTGAGTTTAATGTTTTTTTCAAATATGCTAAAATTAATTTCTTTAGAATAAATTAATTAAAGTAATATTTTAGAAGAACCGTCTAATTCGGATGCATCTTTTTTATACTAATATTATTTATTATTTTATAAATAAATATATATATAAATCAAATGTATATATTTTTAAAAATATAAAAATATTCATTTGTTAATTTGTATACAAGTTTTTATATTGATTGTTTTTTTTATTCGATGCAATCTTATAAAAACAAATATTAAGATGTTTTTGTTTTTAATTTACAATTTACTTTATTATAGGTTTTTATTTAAGAATTAATGAATAACGAAGAACAAATTGTGTTTTTTAACAACAAATATGAAAGACATTAATATGAATAAATAAAATACAAAAACTTGATTAAAAATATAAAATTAGATATTTTTATTTTTTTAATTTAATATATTTTAATACGATTACGACATAACATATATTATCAAACTACAATAATTTTTTAAATTAATTTTATTAATTTTATCTAATCGGGAGCGTAATACGATAAGCATCTAGTAGCTCACTACATTTCAAATGGTAATGGTACAATTTACTAAGCAAATAGAAGTTGGCTCGAAAAAATATTTGCAAAGAAAAAGTTGGGCTTCGAGTTATGAGTTGGTGTACTCTGAACGATTTCTTATTTAGGCCCAATACTTAGAGCTTCAAGGAATAATAATTCCAATAATCTTAAAAAAAGTATTGCAGCAAGGATAAACATCTAGTGGCTTATTACATTTCATACGGTAACGGTACAATTTCGTTAGTGTCATAAAATGGTTGTGTAAATTTCAAGAAAAGAGGTTTTGGATTCACCTAAAATAGAGAATCCATTTTATATTCAGTTGTTTTTTTCATCCCTTTGATCTTTTTGTTTATTTTCTTCAAATTTTGCTCTACGGCTTGCTACTTTTTTTGAAGTTGAAAAACCTACCTACTGATTCGATTATTTGCTTTTGAAATTCACGTGTCATGACTGAAAATCGAATTGATATATATTAAAAAATAAAAAAATAATCACATTCTAAAATTTTATTCAAAAATTCACATATAAAAAAAAAATCATATTTTCTTAACCAATAAAATTATATAAAAAAATAAATCATGAAATTAATTTGATGTTTTCATAAAAAATGACAAATTGAAGAAATCATATTTTTTCATCGCCAAGTTGCATGAAATTTTTTGAAAAATGAGGATTGTTTTTTCATAAATTTAGCACAAAATCAATAAAAAACAATTAAAAAAATTTGCTGAAAAAAAAAACCAAGCCAGGCTTACGCTTTGGGCTTGCAGAAACAGGTCCAATTGATCTGGCCTGGCCACATATAAAAGGCAAAACGACAGAAATCCAATGGACGATGCATCGACCACTATAATTTCCGACGAAACTTGAATTTGTCAAAAAGTTCGCTAGAAAAATAGTTTTTTAATTTTTAGACACCAAAACCTAATCTATGCATTGTTTTTTCTCTAAAACACTGAAATGAGGTACTATATATATATATAATCTTAAAACTAATTCTAACGCACATAAAAAAAAATTAAATTCAAAAACTCATAATGTTTTAAGGTCTCAATCTTCTTCGTCTAATTATTTTATACTTTAAAACCATTATAAACAAATTCTACTCTTTAAGAAAAACAAATTTAATGACACATTGCATGAATCCCAAAAGCTTTTGCTTTTGTTACAATTAGAAGTCAAGGGTCTCACAAGGGTTACTCAAGAGTAAAATAATGATCATAATAACTGATGTATGCATTAGAAATAAATGTTTTTAATTTTCTTTTCAACCAAAGATTGAAGCATGTAAAGATTGAATAGTAGAGACAAAATTATCATTTATTCTTGTCATTCATACTTGTGTTTTTTGTGTTAGAATATAATTGGAGTATAGTTAAGTATAGCCTTTCATTTATTATGAAGTTTTTGTTTCTCATTTTTTAGTAACAATGAATGTTAATTTCATATCATTCCATATTTAAAAACATTTAAATTATTTGAGAATTGTTTAATTTCACAATAAATCAATCCGAATATAAATAATCTATTTAACACATATAATAAAACAAATTTAATTTTCACAACGTGAAAACCAAGCTAAAATATTTTAATCACTAAACCAATCTCTTAAAATTTCTATTACAGAATTTTGTAAAAAAACTACATCAATTAAACACAACACAATTAATATTCAAAGAAAAGACATATTGAATAGTTGTTTAAGGATTTTTTTAATTTTTAATTTCACGATATATCAATCCCGGTGTTAATAATTTATTATCATTCAACCATCTTGTGTGAAAATAGCTACATTATGGGGGCCACAGAAGGGTCAAAGGACCCAAAGCACACAATCTTGACCAAACAATTGCATGTGGGGCCCACATTCAGCATTCTTGCTATCAACAAAAAAGTGCATTCTCAGAAAGAGGTCGCAATTTTCAATCTGGATTCCAGCATTTTTTAACTTTCTATATGTGGGCCTATAAATATACCAGCATTTGAAGAGAGAATTGCACTCCTCTCTTTCTGAACACAGGAAGTTCTATAAATACTTTCTATATTTTAAAAACATCGTTTTTTTAATTTTTCAATAAATACTTAAATCATTTTGTTTGATTTTTCATACAATTTTAAAAAAATTATTAATTATTGTACTATATTAATATTTTTTATTCTTTTTAAATATAATTTTTATTAAAATAATTAATTATCAAATTTAATCCTCCATAATATGGAACCAATATTAATTTAGAAAATCCATCTAAAATTGAAATAATAAAACCAAAGAACATGTAAACAAATAGATGAACAGGAATAACAAAACCAAAGAATCTTCACCAAGAAGTATGCGATAGAGGAAAGTTCAATATTAATTTAAACCAGTCACCAAGAATTGAATCAAAGGGAGAAAAAAGCAATAGAGGAAAGTATGTAAATAATAAAATCAATTTTGATAGTCGATAAAAATAAAAAATAAGAGAAACTTACTTTTAGCTCAATCAATTCTAGCTACTTTGTAAGGTGGATAATTTCTAGCTTGCTTTTGTTTTCCGACAATGCACTTTAAGTTAATAATTTCAGCGATGGCCTTGGCTAGATTGTTCTTGATGTTCGTCATCAATTGCTTTCTGCATAATTAATAACAAACAATTGATTATGAGTTAATGTCGTTAAACTTCGTATTTGTTTAATGAATTGAAACCCAGAAGTTAATCAAAGGGAGAAAAGAAAAAAGAGAGAATGCAAACCTAGCTCAGATTAGTTCTTAAGCTATATAGAGTCAAAGTTTACAGTTTACCCTTTACAGTTTTAAGCTTTTCAGTTTTTTTGTTCTTTTACAGTTTACCCTTTACAGTTTTAAGTTTTTCAGTTTTTTTGTTCTTTTGTGTGGAACATTATATTAAGAAGGATAGTAAATTGACAGGTCGCCATAGCAAATAGCGACCAAGAATTGACATACCAGCAAGTAAATTGACAGGCTGGAAAAATTGAACATACCGATCTTTTGCTTTTTTCATTACCCATGAAAGCTTATATAATCCCAGCACATACCAGGCCTTAAGTCACTCTTCAATAGGAGGATTTAGCTTAATAGAAGGAGAAAGAAGAATTTGAAGAATATGATAAATGAGCAAGCAAGTAGCGGTGGTGTCACAAGAGAAAGGTATATATATATATATATATATACAGCAACATATATATATCTTGCTTAAAAATTATTGCTTAAGAAGAATTTTCCTTATTCTTTGTTATGTTTTCGTTACATATGCAAGGGAACAATTGCGGCTCATGAAGAGTTTCATCACTGCGATGCATGCTGCCATTTGCTTTCTCATTTTTGTGTTGCTAGCTCTCCTCCAGATCAAATATCAAAACAAAGGAATGTCCCCTTTTGAGGCACACGGTACCATTATATTGCTTTTCATTGTGTCCTCCTTTGTCTACTCGATGGCTTTGCTTGCTTTCATAGCTCTACTACTACGAGCCCACCAGCAGCAGTTGGAAACACTTTGTTTCTTCACAGTTCTTAAGCACATTTCTCTCGTTTCTGGAGCTCTTACTTGTGATTTACTCCTCTTGATACTCTGCCCTGCCTTTGGATACTTTGTGTCGATCTTTTGTGGAGTTGTCATACTTGTGAGGGCACTCCTTGGATCCTACCAGCAAATTCTTGTTCGGTTGCTAGATGTTGCAGCCACCGCAGCAATAGCAAGAGACCTGATCCTGCATTTTTTCCATGGATCAAGTCGGCAGGAGGCTCATAATCAGGCATATAGCATGGCATGTGTTTGCTTCTCTCTAATTTTTCTTTCTACTTCTACAAATTACATGGTATTAAGAGGCTGCAAATCATCAAGAAAACTAATCTTTATCATGTACTAAACGTACTTGTTCCTACCATGTTTAATTAAGCTGATTAATTAGTTTTTTATACTGCTCTTTTTTTCAATAATATTTCAGGTTTCTCCATCAATGACCAATGTTTCTACAAATCACAACTCGACTAATCAAGGAGGTGGAGATCACACTACAACTCAAATTGTTAGTGTGTAAATCGGTTTCATGATTTGCATAAGTAGTATCCATCGATTTGACTACGCCGAGACGACTACTTTGATTTGAAATAAGTTGGTGTTTTATATATAGTTTATTAATTGTAACTAATTAGTGTGGTTATTTGGGAGTGATCCATATTTATTATTTCATCATACGTTTGCAAGAATGCTATTAAATATGATATCATATTAAAATGACTTGGTAAATTTTTGGATCAAATTGTTTCTGAATTTTAGTTTATTTAAAAATCAATTTCTAAATTTCTAATTTCGAGTCTAACCTTTTTGAATTTTATATTTTATTTTAAAAAATATTTAAAAGAAAAAATTAATAATAAATAGTTTATGTTATATTTATAGATGCATAATTAATTTTTAATAAAACTCGGTGATTTTTTTTCACACATCATGATTATGCTTAATAAGTTCAGGTGTGTGGAAAAAGAGAGGGAGAGAGAGAGTGTCCGTACTTAATAAGTTCGGAGTGTGGAGAGAAAGAGAGAGAGAGAGAGAGCGTGTGTGTCCGTATAGCAATACATTAAATAAATTTGAAGTTAATAAACTAAAATAAAAAATATTATAATATTAATTTCATAAATTTTGATCATATAAAAGAGCAAAGAACACATGTTAAATGTATTTTTAAATGTAATTTTCTTTTTAATTTAAGACAAAGTATCTTAAATATATTTATAGCCTTTATATTATATATTTAAAATTTATAAAAAAAATCATTATATAAATTATATTAATATATTTTAAAAAGTGAAAAAATAATCACATTCTAAAATTTTATTCAAAATCCATATATAGAAAAAAATATCATATTTTCTTAATAAATAAAGTAATATGAAAAAATAAATTATGAAATTAATTGGATGTTTTCATAAAAAATGACATCCAAGAAATCATATTTCTTCATCGCCAAGTTGCAAGAAATTTTTTAAAAAATAAGGATTGTTTTTTTCATAAATTTAGCACAAAATCAATAAAAAAAACAATTAAAAAATTTGCTGAAAACAAAACCAAGCCAAGCTTACGCTTTGGGCATACGCAAACAGGTCCAATTGGCCACATATAAAAGGATAAAAAAGAGAGAAATCCCATGGACGATGCATCGATCACTACAATTTCCGATGAACTTGAATTTATCAAAAAAGTTCGCTAGAAAAACAGCTTTTTAATTTTTAGACTCCAAAACCTTTTTGCTCTAAAACACTGAAATGAGGTAATATACTCCAAGATTCGTTTCATCCTGGATTGGAGTGATTCCGCGACCGAAGTACCCGGATGCAAGCCCAAGAGTAAGAGAAGGACACGGAATTTCCCGAGTCTAGGGGCATTTTCATGGCCTAAGGGATACGACCCGTTCGAGACCTTCGGAAATAAATGTTTATAGCGCCGAAAGATGAGGGGCGAACTCAGGAGGCATCCGGCCACGGGCCAACTGCCCAGGAGCAAGCTGGCCTACTGGCCAGACTGGCCGCACGAGCCAAGGGAGTGCCATGGCTCCCGACAGCAGGTGCACGAGCGCATGAGAGTTGGTAGGCCTTGTGCACCACGGGAGGTCAAGCAGCAGGGGCTTGCCGCATATAATGCTAAAACTAATTCTAATGCACATAAAAAAAAAAAAAAAAAAAACTCATAATGTTTTAGGTCTTCCTCATTCAATTATTTTATACTTTAAAATCACCATAAACAAATTCTACTCTTTAAGAAAAACAAATTTAATGACACATGGCTTGTCAAAATGGCTAAAATAAGCCTGACTGACGGCTTTTTCTCTCCTCTCTTACCTCTCTTTGTGTCTCACAAATGAAGTTGTGTATCAAAACAAAAGATTTGAAAACACTGCTAAAAATACAGAATGGAGATAGGCTTTCTCTTTCCCGACCAGTGAATGATTTGAAATTAATCTACAGAACAGAAAACATTGTTTCAAAAATGTAGCAAAAAAGAAAAACACAAGTTACCTCAATAGCCATCCCTTACCTCCAAGATCAATTACACATTCATGGACCATTTAGGGATTCTTCCTGTTTGATTGTATTCAAACAAGCCGCCTTCCTCTTTCATCAACCATCTAGGAATTCTACAGAATACCATATTTGTGTTCTCATTCATTTTCTTGACGTCAGTTTATTTTTTGGAGCCAATTGTTTCTGGGGAAGCGCTCTCCACCCAATATCTCGCCGGTAGAACCCTCCTGGCCAGTTGACTTCCTCAACTGCTTGATAAGTTCGGTCCCGTGCCTCTTCAAGATCTCTTCCGGTGGCAGTGACCCCAAGAACTCGTCCCCCGGTAGCAATCAAGTTGCCATCTGAGTCCACAGCTGTTCCAGCATGGAATATCTTAACTGTTGGAGCAACATCCTCAGCCTCCTCTAGGTTTCGAATCACATTCCCCTTTTCATAGGACCCAGGGTACCCCTTGCTTGCCATAACAACCACCATGGCAGACCCTGGACACCATTTCAGGGATACTCCACTTAGCTCTCCTCTACTAGCTGCAAGTAGAACTTGTGCTAGGTCTGATTCCAACCGGACCATCAACACCTGCATATTCACGCAAAAGAATCTCCCATTAATTTTATGTCACAACTATCGATATACCGACTTCCTGTAACTTCTGAGGAATAATCATGACAACCAAAATCTGATGGTCAATTTATAGTGCGTTTTCATGCACAAGCACATGCACATAAAAGATAATCAGCGCAACCTCCCCGCTCATCATAGCCGATAGATAAACCAACTGGATATTGCTTTAGTTTATCCAAACAGTCATAATTTGGAGTGAAGAAACCATAAGAATTCTGAATTATATCATCCTGTTTATTAATAATTTGGAAAAAGTCTTCAACTTGACCCAACAATGCCACAAACCAGTTAGGGAAAAAACTTAAAACCACCTCTTTTAATGGGATGCCTAAACATCTAACAGTTTATACCGTCAGTCACTGTTAAAAAAATAATAAGATAAAACTGACACAGTAATATTCTGGCCCAAACTATTCCCCATCAAGATGCGGTTATCAATACATGCAGCAGTGACAATCAGATATGTAACAGCAGCTTTGCACAGAATTGTGATTACCAGAACAGCAAGCTTCAAAAGAATTTACATTATAGTCAGTATCATGCAACTCAAACCGGACGTCAGAACAAAATGATAGAAGGTTTTCACCTGGGAGTGTCTAACTAACGACAAGCTGTATATGACCAAACTCTACACTTTGACCCTTGAGCCTTGAGGAGAACGAATATGTTGCCAAAGCAACAGTTGAAACAACCATTTTTCCCAATCATTAGTAACATAAAAGTGGTGTAGGGCAGGATCTCAATCAAGATATTGCTTCTCTGTGGGTATTGCACTTTAATCATGCAGCAAATGTTGCATGGGACCCCAACACTAATTCCAAAGGCACAAGAATAACAACAAAATGAGACAAGAATATGGGGAGAGAAACCAAAAGAAAGCTGTTACATACCCAGGAAAACAAGGACAAGCCTTCTGGGTGTTCCCTTTCACCATTTACTCCTATATATATATATATCCGAAGCCCACTGTGTGAACAGATACTGTAAACTACCAAAACAATGATAACCCAATATATACAGAGATCTAGTGAAATCATGCAGCCAACTCATCCAACAAACAGAAATCAGCATTGCTAAATATTTTTGAAGGCTTATTAGGGTCTGTATCTGACCTGACACTCAGGATCACCAAAGCGTACATTGTACTCAATTAGCTTAGGTAAGCCAGAGTTCTTCTCAATCATCAACCCAGCATACAAAACCCCTACAAACTTGCAACCCTCTGCTGCCATTCCGTTCACCGTCGGGAGAATTATAGTTTCCATGACCACTGACTGAAGTTCTTTTGTCAATACTGGTGCTGGAGAGTATGCTCACATCCCGCCAGTATTGGGGCCTGTATCTCCATCACCAACTCTCTTAAGGTCCTGAGCAGATTCTAGAGGAATAGCATTCTCTCCATCCACCAGGGCAAAGAAAGATGCTTCTTCTCCTTCCAGAAATTCTTCAACAATGACACGACAACCTGCAGAACCAAAAACACTCCTCACAAGCATTGAATCAACAGCTTCGTATGCCTCCTCAAGTGTCATGGCAACAATAACTCCCTTTCCAGCAGCCAAGCCATCTGCTTTTATGACAATAGGTGCTCCCTGGTCCTGAATGTATTGCTTTGCAGCAGATGGATCTGTGAATGTTGTGAACAAAATAACTTCCAGAAATTTTGCAGGTTTTAATTGCACAGGAATATCACCTCAGAGTCCATTGATTGGTACTTTCTGCACACATCATCCTCTCATCTTGTGAACAAAAGCCACTCAGGCATGCTCAGCTACCCAGACAAAAATAAAATAGAGAAAAAATAAAAAATAAAAGCTAATCGGGGTGCACAAAGAAACAAATAGTAAAAAAAAAAAAGAAGTGGCAGTGGCAGCTGCACGTCCTGAAAGGAGAAAACTATGGAACTCCAAACTCATACCAAAGGCAAAGGCATGTGCAACTTCAGAAAGTGACGGCTCATATACATCATTCTACAAGTTTACTAACAATCCAACGATAATTCAAGCATCAAAACAACAAAAACCAACAAAAGTTGCAACAATTAGTCATTTATTTACTTTCTTAAACTCTTACATTAAAAAAACCAACAATCGGACTATGAACTAAAACATAGAATACAAAACCAAAGAACATGTAAACAAATAGATGAACAGGAATAACAAAACTAAAATTACCAGTTCTTACCGAAGCAAAACGTAAGCTACTGCTATGAAAAGAAGTAGGTGAGAGACGGCGTATATTAAGGAGAAGAACGGGTTGACAGAACAGAAGGAGCTAAGACAAAACCCACACGGCCACCCACTGGAAGTATTTGTTTCTGTGTTTAAGTAGGATGCCCTTTTACTGTTCTGTTTTGTCTCATAGTGTTTTCTAATTAAATTTTTTATCAATATTATCCCTCTTTTTTATTTTACATCTTAATTTAGTCCCTCGTTTAAATTTTTAAGTAATTTTCTAAAAAAAATTAGTTCAATTTGTTTTTATTTTTTATTTTTAGTGTGAAAATACACTTAAGTGAAAAACTAGAATCTAACCTAATTTATTAGGAAAATAACCATGAAAAAAAAACTCTAACTAATTATGATAAATTATTTTAGTTTTCAATTTTTTTTTAATAAATTAGATGGAATTTGAGTTTTTCAAGTGAGATTATTTCCATGAATCTGTATTGAAATTTCTGCTAGAATAATAGATTATAAAATAACATGAAATATAAAAACATTAGTTTTGTTATGTAGTTTTTATCATGATATGAACATTCTCTATGCATATTCAAGTTAAAATTTTAATTATTTTTTAATTTATGGAAACAATAATATAAATCATATCACTTTATATCATAATTTAATTATAAAAACTCTTACTTGAATATTAATAAGAGTGTCGATGATACAGAATTCCACACTTATACCATCATAAACTTTTAAAAAATAAAAGGATTTTGATGTAAGTTGATGCGATATTAGAGACAGTTAGTTGCTTGTTTTTGCTTTTATGTTTTTACAGAAAACATTCAACATGCATCTTAAATTTATAATATGAAATTTCAATCAATTTAATTAAAAATAATTAACAATGACCAAACTGTAAGAAATTATGATTTAAAGTTTTTTTCATATTTCTTTCTTCAAACTCAGTACCTATTTTTTAAAATTCCTTTATTGTTTATGCGTATATTGATCGATTGATTTCCAAGAATTAAAAATGAAATATAAATAATTAAACCACAAAAAAAAAAAAAAAGTTACATACATTATCAGTTAATCAAATAAAAAAAAAAAACTAGGGTTTAGGGTTTAGAATTTACGGTTTAAAGATTAGCAACTAGGAGCTGACAAAATAACTAGTAATATTTGCCTCGCTGCAGATTTTGGGCAGCGATTCAAAGCTAAATATACCATAACCCAAAAAAAAAAAAAAAAAAAAAAAAAAAAAAAAACCCAGAAAAGCCTTGAAACATTCTCACATCTCAAGAGCATGTGAACCTTTTCACTGAAACAAAATCTTCTCTACATATGCTGAGTGCGACTCATGAATCATGATTACAAATTGTTTGGAATTGTGTCATCCCTTTACAAGAAAAGAATTGTGAACCACCAAAACTATTCTGGATAAAAATCAATGTCCATTCGTGGACCTCTTTGAAGTTTATCTTGTAGATCTAAATGTTTGGGTAGCACAAGCTCAGTTCCCTCACCAAACGTCGAAAAATATCTCTCTAAAACCATCTGCAACCAGAAAGGGGCAATAAAAGAGAACAAAAGAAGAGTTAGCAGAAAGTTTGGAAACATTACACTATGCATACATCGAAATCTCCTCGGCATGAGATTGAAATAAAATGTGATAGCGCACCACAGCAGCATAGGCATCAACTTTCTTCTGCCGAGTAGACTTGCTGAGGCCCCTGAAAGAGTCGAGACATGGTCGTCACAGACCGGTAAATACAGGTCCTGCCTATTGAGACATTTATTTTGTCAACTACAGAAACATTCTTTGTTTTTGGCAAAATAGTATCCTACAAATTAATAGGAAACATAGTTTATAACTGCCTGTCCAATTTTCGCATTCAGTGTAATAATGCAAACCTTTAATTTAACAACCTGTATTTATGCAAGGTAAGACGCAGCATCAACAAAACATGCAGAATAAGGTATTGTGAAGCACCATCCCAGTCACAACATCTATTGAGAATCATGTGTAGCATAGAAAAGAAAGATCCTAATTAACACAGCCGAAAAGTCTAACGTCCAGCACAAAACACGACTCTTTCCTATTGATGATCGCAGTGATACCATCATAGCACACCTAGTCAATGCATTTAGATGCGGTCAACAAGTAACAAACCAATTCATTACACATGCAACTCGAAAGAAAATCCTAACTTGCAAGCAATTCAAAGATATAGACCGATTTCGCAAAGACGAGTGAATTCAACTGAGGATGGATAGCATGATGCTAAATAACCACAATAATATATCTAATAGAGTAGCACTAATATAAAATGCTTTAAGGGAACCATTACATGTTAATCATACGGTCAGTGGCTTCTGTTGATGTGCCATGTTCATCTTGTAGGTACACTTTCCAACCCCTGAATTTTTCTTAAAACTGTGAATAATAATGATAGCAATGACAGTAATAGTAATCCATATCTAAATGAACAGAAGCAGAAAAAGCATAAAAACAAAAGGGCAGGAATAGTTTCACCTGTCAGCAGCAAGAACAGCCAACCTTCCAGCAACACTACGAACTTTGTTGGATTGTGGGGTTTCCTTACCATCCCAAGATCTTGGAAGCCCAATTATGAATTCACCCACCTCCTGTACACAAATCACCATTTCCTTGCACTATTATCAAATGGACTACTTTTTTTTTTTTTTTCAAAGACAAGACAACAAGAGAATTTCGAACCTCGTTTGCTGCAATTTCAAGAAGTCGAAGCTCAAGCTTTTGTCCTCGTAATTCCAAAACCTAAACATAATAATAAGTAAGATTTTAAAAAATTCTAAATCTTTAAAAAATAGTAAGAATATATGGCAGCATTACCGAGAGAGGACGAACAATGAAGCCTTTGCTAAGGGCAAGACCAGAGCGAGACAATCCCAAGTCTACCCCTAGACTGAACCCTCCTCTCCACAGTGGGTCAGTCTTCCGGCGAAGGGCATTGGGGGGTATTTCTTCTATGGATAACGCTGCCCTTAATCTTCTTGGACTTGGCTTGTTATTATCAAGTTGAAGACAAGAAGTACTGTAGTTGGGAATTACGAGATTGGTGGGTGCCCTTTTAGAGAAGATGAGCAACTGGTTTGACTTTGAGACTGAGACTGAGAGTGAACAACACATTTTTCCTCCACCTCCAAGTTTCTGTCTTTCTATCAGATTAGGGTTCAGGTTCAGGCCTTGAATTTGAGGAAGTCAAGGCAAACTGGTTTTGTTCTTTTTCATGCTGAACTAGCCCATCGCAGTACTACAAGGCCCAGGTTGAACTAGAGTCTAAACTCACCTGTTCTAAACATTAACTCATCCAACAGTTCTTCTCTTCAGTTTCAATTTTGAACTTTACCTCTTTCTAACCATTTCTTTTGAAATCAAGTACTTCTATTTAGTATTGTCCGAACCGAACCGACAGGGAACTGCTAAAGGAAGCCAGTTCACAGGCTCACTGCCGGTTCAAAGCTCCTGTCGCAGCTAGAGCTATTCACTGTTTGGTTTCAATAAAAAAAAAACTATATTAAACCGAATCGAAATAACAACTTCGATTCAGTTTTAACCCAAAAATTAAAAAACTGACAGTTGATTATTTAAAAAAAAAATTCCACTAACTCATTGCATAAACATTAAACAACAAAAAATCTTAACATCTTCAATAAACTTATTATGTTACATCCCATTAGATGTAGAAACTAATAGAAAGATTTAATTTTGAATAAAACATAATTCAAGAAAGTCAAATCTAAAATAGAAATTTGAAAAACTAATAAAAAATTGAAATAAAATTTGGAGAAGATTGTACCCATTTAGTCCTAAAAATTATGAAATATAGGTAATTGCTTAGTAAATAAATTCGTTAGATTGTTACTTTGATATGTTTTTTAAAATTTAATTATGCAAGTATCATTATTTTCATTTAATATTATTGGAATTTTTTTGTTTATAGATAAACCACATGTCTCTCGGATATAATAGATCGTTGATTTTAATCAAATACATTCTCGACTTACCTCATAAATCGATATTTCGCATAGTTTGAATATTTAGTAGCTATAATTTGTTTCATGGAACGTCATAACATACCCGTATCATTGTGTGTAAACACATAATCCATTTATAATTGAGTTTTATATACATGAGATAAATAACTTGTATATGCATAATTAACTTTTTATCTTCTTATGTCTTCTTATGGTATGTCTTGCTAGGTAAAAGGGATAAAAACATGTTGAGGATATTGTATTGTAGCCATAAATATATTGTTGTTTAATTTCATACCCACAAAGAAATTAAACCCAAACTTCCTAAAAGTATTTTCGAGATGCAATTACACTTCTAAAGGGAGTGATAACCTAACAACCATATATCATATATAATTGGAAAATTCCTATTATCCTTAAATTCCTCGATTGGTCTTCTTTTGTTAGCAAATTATGCATCCGTGCTTTTTCCTTCGTTAACCTATTTGTATGATAAAAAAATTGTCATAAAAGATTGCCAAAAGTAGGAATATAGCTAATTCAACAAAAGTTACATGCATCTGCAATGACACAAAATCTGACATAAAATTGTTGCCTTGTTTGGAATGTGATTAACAAGTGCGAGCTTTGAAGAAAGATATAGCATAGGAAGCCAGAATCCATACATCATCTGTGATTGGACTTCGAATTTAAGGAAATATTAGGTTTTTTTTTTTTTTGGATAAATGAAAATTTTTATTGATAAAAAAAAAAAAAAAAAGCAACAAGTAAGAGCTCAACCTATTACAAAACATACATAATATTATCACCTGTGAGAACATATTAGATAAACATCTATATATTCCTCATATATTACAAACTAAGTTAGACTTGAGATTATAATTTTAAATAATGGACATAGTTAAAAAAATAGTTATGATTGCAAATCGTAGTTTATCGCGAGAGTAAAATAACAATTATAGCAATCGATATTGTAAATACATTAGGAAAAAATATTTTTAATTTTCATTTCAACCAAATTCAAGCCTATAAAGAGTTACTAATAGAGACAAAACAAAACTGAAAAAATAAGGACAAAATCACTTAAGTAGGTTGCAAAGTACAAGGTTGATATATATATATGTGTGTGTGTGTGTATTGTCGTTGTTTGTGAAACAAAGATATGATCTCTATTCCATAAAACATCAAATAACGAGTAATAGAGTGCTCTGATGTTGTTATATAACAATATGGTTGGAAAGCCATGGCGAGAAAAAAAGCAAGACATTATGTAAAAGCTTAGAGAATTTAACGATGAATTTAGATGCTCATCAATATGTCAAATCTAAATCCTATAAAATTGCTCACTAAACTAAGAGATCAAATCCATTTGAATTGTATGTCTTCTTGTGTTATGTGTTTTAACTTGAAAGATTTATTTAAGACAAAAATTGGAGATCGAAGATCCATTTGAGTGGTATATCTTCTTATGTTCATGTGTTTTTAACTTGAAAGATTTATTTAAGAAAAAAATTTTAATTGAGTTGGTCTCGGGTTTAGCAAAGATGGTTTGGATTTTTGTATTTTAAATTTACAAATTGGTATGGTCTTCATTGGAACTACCAATAAATTAAAATTGGTATCTATGATTTTATTATATAATTTATTGGTTAAACATTATGTTATTTACGAGTTAGAGGTATTTGAGAGGGGGTGTTTTCCATTGTTGCCACCAATAGCATTTTTATTTGTTTATTTAACTTCTTTTCACTCGTGTTGATTTCATAAACCTTTTTACTCAAAGTTATTTTAAATGAAAAATACAAAATTTTCATTCGCATGTACTATGATTCCACTACCATATATTAACTTAAAACTGTTGTTTTTATCAATAAAGAATTTCCATTCACCCATAAAATATATAGAAAATATGAACCTTAAATATTATTTTTTGTCATATTCAAGTGACTCAAGGGTAAAAATAAAATATTTTGGACTTTGGAAGGTTAATATATATTAACTACTAATTTTTTAAAAAAAAAAAACTAGCATGAAGCACGGGCAAACACCAATTTTTTTTTTTCATAAATAAAACCATACAACTCATAATTAGTGGTTAGATAGTTAAGAATTAGTATTAATAATTAGTAGTTAGTAGTTAACGAGTTGAGAGAAAACAATCGTATTATTACAATGGATCGAAATATTACTAATTTTTCTTATGATAAAGAATTTTCGAATTTAAATATTTAAAATGATTTGAACTCGTGATTTTTTATGAAAAGACTCAAGTAATCCAATTACAAAAAATAAAAATAAAAATAAAAATTTGGGATTTTTAAATAGTAAAACACTATTCTTAAACCGTTCAAATGCCTAAATTCATCATTCATCAACTGTTCATTGGTGGCATTTTTTCTTTGTGTTTTGCCTATGGTTTTTCTATTATTTTTGTATGTTCACCGAGACAATAATATGCAAATTTAACATTCTTTAGTCCCTCGTGTTTTCATAGAATATTTTTGATCCGTCATATTTTCAAAACATACTCGTGGTCCTTGGATGAAAAACAAAGAGAGAGAATGGAGGAGAGAGAAACGACCGATTAGGTTTCTTCACCAAATCTTGCATCTAGATTATTTTTATTGGTAATGAGAGTGCATTTATGGTCTTTTCAAGTTATACAATGATTAGATAAAGTAGATTGGAGTCCAAAACAAATTTTATTTTTCAATTTTTAATGTGCATTGAAATGGTTTTTGAGGTTCAAAATGATTTTATTGACCTTAGTTTAGTTATTTTGAGGTGTTCTTAAGCAAAAATGATGCTGAAAATCGGTTTTCACTGGAAACTTGCAAGTTTTGTTTTTTTTTTTTTAGGCCGTCTCGAGCTTGCTTCTCTAGACCTAGGCACCTCGTCTTGAGTCGACCTACTCCTACGGTCCAAGCGCACGAGCTCGGTTCTTTAGGCCAGTGGACGATCTTTTTTAGCAATTTAGGTTTATTATTAATGAATGGGTTGTGAAAATTATAAAAAAAAACACTTGTTATTTTTTTTACACATATTAATAATTATGAAACATATACGATGTTTTTTTTTAATTTTGGATATATATATATATATATATACTATTTAAAACTTATCTCTTCAATTTGTATTATGAAAATTATCATCAAATTATTTTTTTTAATTTTTTATTGATAAATATGATTTATTTTTTTCTATGTATGGAATTCTAAATTAGCTTTTAAAAAAATAAATCATCAATTAAATAATAGAATTCACATGTTTTATTTTATTATTCTTTGTATAATAAAATTTTACTGGAATAAATTTTATAGTTATTTTATTGTACTTCATTAACTTCAATATATTCCTTATAAATTATTGAAAAAAATACTTTGTGATTTATATTGTACATTCTAACCCGCGAGTATAGTCACGATTTATGAAAAAAATTGAGATCATTGGTTTTATTAAAAATTATATTTGCATATGCACAAATAATACCAATAATAAATTTTATTGAAAATTATTTGTGCATCTACACACATAGCACTAATAATTTGAGTTTAATGTTTTTTTCAAATATGCTAAAATTAATTTCTTTAGAATAAATTAATTAAAGTAATATTTTAGAAGAACCGTCTAATTCGGATGCATCTTTTTTATACTAATATTATTTATTATTTTATAAATAAATATATATATAAATCAAATGTATATATTTTTAAAAATATAAAAATATTCATTTGTTAATTTGTATACAAGTTTTTATATTGATTGTTTTTTTTATTCGATGCAATCTTATAAAAACAAATATTAAGATGTTTTTGTTTTTAATTTACAATTTACTTTATTATAGGTTTTTATTTAAGAATTAATGAATAACGAAGAACAAATTGTGTTTTTTAACAACAAATATGAAAGACATTAATATGAATAAATAAAATACAAAAACTTGATTAAAAATATAAAATTAGATATTTTTATTTTTTTAATTTAATATATTTTAATACATTTACGACATAACATATATTATCAAACTACAATAATTTTTTAAATTAATTTTATTAATTTTATCTAATCGGGAGCGTAATACGATAAGCATCTAGTAGCTCACTACATTTCAAATGGTAATGGTACAATTTACTAAGCAAATAGAAGTTGGCT